TAATTTGTTCCGGAGGTCCATTCTTAACCTGAAACTGTTCTTAACCTGAAGCATCACTTTAGCTAATGGGGCCTCCTGCTGCCACTGCACAATTTCTGTTCTCATCCTGAAGCAAAGTTCTTAACCAAGGTACTATTTCTGGGTTAGCGGAGTCTGTAACCTGAAGCGTATGTAATCTGAAGCGTATGTACCACTGTATGGTAATTTATGGACCTAATAGGTATCTAAAGCCATTTGAAAATGCAGGATGTAGGCACCCTATATATAGAAATGAGCAAACCAGTGATATTTTAGGGAGTAGGTTAGCAGGCCCATGACTTACATCATAGGAGCCTACACAACACAAAACACTGTTGTTGTATGTAGGTTTATTTTATTTGTTTTTTATCTTATATTTTGGAAATGTACATCCAGTTTTTTTCCTTTAATTTTTTTGGGGCCCCCGAAAAGAGTGGGGCCCTAAGCTTTAGGTTGTTTAGCTTATACCTAAATCAGGCACTGCAGTGGGGGCAAGTAGCTGATGGCACAGCAAACACCCTGCTCTTGCTGAGACCACTCTTGACTGAAACACTGAATCCTTAATAGCTTTCGGATCTTACAAGGGGGCGGGGACTGGACACCACCTTCCAGCAGCAATTTCCTCACTATTGTCAGGGACAGGGCAGAGGAGGAATGGTGGAGACCGCCTCCCCAGCCTGACCCTTCCAGGAAGAAGGAGACAGTTCAGAATTACAACAGGGGTTTGAGGGAGGTCACAACTCAGAGGCAGATGAGGGGGAAAGCTGGGAAATAATGGGAGAGGAAGAAGTAGGCAAGAGGTGACGGACACGGTGTCTTTAGAAAGCATTCCAGACACAAACCCCTCCCAGAAACTGGTGAGCCTTGAAAGTAGGAGAGCAAATATCTCAAAGGCAGAGGGCACTTTTCAGCTCCAGTAGCGATGACGCATGAGGAAGTGGGAGAGACAGAGGAGGTGGAGACTCACTTGGGACAATGCCATTATTCCAAGAGGCTGTGTTTCCAAGCCTCTCTCTGTGACTACTGAATAAAAAGCAGATGGTAAGGACTTTTCCTTGTCTTATCCATTCCTGGCAACCTCCTGTGGGGGTCAGATCCTCTGCCGCCTGACAACTATTCACTTCCTCAGACTTTTCAGATTTTAGACATGGACCTGTCTTCTTGTTACCTGCAAAGTGCCAGGTACCCTGCCGGTCCTGGATAACAACAATGCCATTCCTGAACAGAGACCAAGTTGTAGTATAATCTGGAAATATAAGCAGTTGGCCTGAAAGCCATCAAGTCACTGAGTTGCTGTTATGTACTGAGTTGAATAGGATCCAAAATGCAGCAGTCTGATTGGTCCTAGAACAATAGGATTCAGAATGCAGCAGTCTGATTGGTCCACAGGAGCCACCCAATCCAGCTCCAGGTGGAAGTGAATCCACAACCTGATTGGCCTACAGGAGAATCCCGGAATTAGCCAATCACGTGCAGCCCATTGTGTGAATAATGTATATAAAGCAGATATTGTGGGGGAACTTCCATTCTTCCTCACCACTACGAGCTGAATAGAGAGCATGAAATCCACTCTCAACTCTGAGTATATTTCAGTTGCAAAATGCTACGTTAACACCGTGCCTGGATCCTATCCATACATATCTGGAAATCATGCTTATTGGATTCACTGAGACTTACTGGGAAGGAAAAAATGCTTAGAATCAGATTGGCTCTGTGCAGTTGTGGTTGTGTCTGTGGGCCAGATGATTTTTATATTATAATTATGCCTTGTGCTCAAAACATACGAAAGGGCAGTAGCTCAGTTGGGGAGCATGTGCTTTTCATGCAGAAATTCCCTTGTTCAATTCTCGAGATCTCCCGATAGGGCTGGAACAAAACTGCTACCAGTCAATGTATACAACATTGAATTAGATGCACCAGGCCCTGACTCAGTAGGAGGCAGATTCCTGTATTTTCATATACGTGTTTGTCTTGCATAGAACTGATTACTATCATTAAAATGAGCACGTATCCGCCTTGAATTCTGATGAGCACAAATGCCCACCAGAGGGCAGCATCACCCTATCAAATAACGTAGAAACAAACTTATTTGGAACATACAGACAACTTTTCATTTATGTAGTCTGCATGAAACCTAGATTGAACTTCTTTGTCTAGTCAATCCAATTCAACACCTTAATACAAACAAGTTTTCTTGTGTTTTATATCTGATTTACTGGATAGTAAGGGAGCAATCAGATGCGGGTGGCGCTGTGGGTTGCACCACAGAGCCTAGGACTTGCTGATCAGAAGGTCGGCGGTTCGAATCCCCGTGACGGGGTGAGCTCCCGTTGCTCGGTCCCTGCTCCTGCCAACCTAGCAGTTCGAAAGCACGTCAAAGTGCAAGTAGATAAATAGATACCACTCCGGCGGGAAGGTAAACGGCATTTCTGTGCACTGCTCTGGTTTGCCAGAAGCAGCTTAGTCATGCTGGCCACATGACCTGGAAGCTGTATGGCGGCTCCCTCGGCTAATAAAGTGAGATGAGCGCCGCAATCCCAGAGTCGGTCAAGACTGGACCTAATGGTCAGGGGTCCCTTTACCTTTAAGGGAACAATTGTTAATTATTCAACATTGGCTGAGATCTATAGGGCCACATGCACCCATAGTTTTTTGCAGTTGTCTCATCAGGAGCTCATCTTCTCCATCCCTGACCCACTTTGTTCTTTCATACAGCCACATGTTCAACAACTAGGTAAACAAAACAGACCACAGCATCAAATCCAAAACCCCCTGAATGCAGATCGAAGCCTACCCTCTACATCTCTATGTAGAGATATGTCTTGAACTGTTGGTGGAAGGTCATAGAGTCATAGAATTGTAGGGTTGGAAAAGGGACTGTGAAGGTCATCTATTCCAACCCCCTGCAATGCAGACCATCTCAAGACATGGTCCCCCATCCAATCTGAAACCACACCAGACCCTGCTTAGCTTTGCAAATGTGCTCACAGTTTATTGCTGCACCACATCAGCCAAAGAAATATCTATATTTCTATGGCAAGAGAGATCTATTCAGGGACCGCGTCTAAACCACTGAGCCTCTTGGGCTTGCTGATCAGAAGGTTGGTTCGAATCCCCCTGACGGAGTGAGCTCCTGTTGCTCTGTCCCAGCTCCTGCCAACCTAGCAGATCAAAAGCACGCCACTGCAAGTAGATAAATAAGTACTGATGTGGTGGGAGGGTAAACAGTGTGTCCGTGTGCTCTGGTTTCTGTCATGGTGTTCAGTTGCGCCAGAAGCGGTTTAGTCCTTCTGGCCACATGACCCGGAAAGCCATCTGTGGACAAACGCTGGCTCCCTCGGCCTGAAAGCGAGATGAGCACCACAACCCCATAGTCGCCTTTGAATGGACCTAACCGTCCAGGGGTCCTTTACCTGTTACCTTATTGGGGGACCATTACAGAGAAATGGATGTCTGCCAGGTCATTGCATATAGGCCAAAAACTTTGGCAGGATCGTGCAAAGAACCTCCCCTACAGGCCTCAGCTGACTGTCAGAACCAATACCTTGAACTGGGCCTAGTGGCAAACAGGCAGTCAGGATAGCTTCCAAGAGGTCAGTGTAACTCAAGCCCAACTTGCTGCTCTGCTCAAAGTTCTCGTTCCATGTTTTACACTAGAAGCAATTTCCAAACCATCTTCAAGGGGCATTATACTAAAAGCAGAACTTTGTTATGATTTTTTTTAATGACTCAGTTTCATAATAAACAGAAATGGAACCAAGTATTTACAAGCAAAGAAAAGGGGGGGCATATCGAGTTTTATGAGGTGGGGAGCCTCTCACGATTGTTTCTTCTGGCAAACCTCCTTGTTTCTGAGCTTTTGCTGGCTTTGCAGTCGGCTGTTGAAAGGATTCACGAATCATGAGAAAGCTCAGATTCTTGAGTGTCTAGTAAAGCTATTATGTTACCTTGACACCAGTTCCCTTTGCTAAATACCATTCAAATGCTCCAGAATCACACAGTTATCAAAAGTATATAGAAAAGTGAAACTGGACAATAGCAATGCCATTATTTTATAAAAGCACGAGGTATAATTTTATACTCCATAACCTAACAAACACCAATCCCTCTGCCTGTTGTCTTTTTTTCTAAAATAGTGACTGAAAATCTGCTCCAGGTCACACAGTCAACGGCCAATGGCCAGGGATGATGTGAATTCTAGTCTTTGGATCTGTTGACCACAAACTGTCACCACTATAGTGGAAATAATAAGGAGCAAGGCTATGGTCCAATATATACTTACAGTGGTACCTTGGTCTACGAACAGCCCTGTTAACAAACTATTCGGTGAACGAATTCCGCAAAACCGGAAGTAGCGAACTTTGCCTCAGAAGCCGAACGGAAGCTGAATGGTAGAAGGGCACTGGCGTCACTAGGGAAAGCGTGCCTCAGTTTAAGAATGCTTTGGTTTAAGAACGGACTTCCGGAACGAATTAAGTTTGTAAACCGAGGTACCTCTGTACTTGCAAGCAAGCTTCCTTGAGTCCTCAGTAGGACTTACTTCTGAGCAGACAGGCATAGGTTTACTTTGTACACCTGCAATTCCAAAGCCACTTCTTTATCAAAGCCCATATAATAGAATGTATAGCCTTCGCAGCGATTATTATGGTAGATTAGTCATGACTGCAGATTAACATGGGTTATCAAAAGACGAAAATCGGGAATACCAAGGATACAAAAATTCAGGATCAGAGCCTTATAACCATGGAAACCGGACAACATTTAAATGTGGGGTGGGGGGGAGTCCCACTGATTTCTACGCAACCAGAATAGGACAGGCTCACGGCGTTAGTTTCAACAGCAAAAGCTTCAGTTTGTGCCGTCTACAAAATGTACAGGAGAAAGAAGAAACACCAAAGAAGCAGCAGCATAAAATCTCGATAAATAATATGTGTGAATAAGGCAGGAAATGCAAATGATAGGCAGAGATGGTAGAAGGGAAGCTATATCCTTTCAATGACAATTTCCCCATCTATCAGCTTCACTTGTTTTTTTCTCTTCCGGCGAATTTTCATTCTGCCTTGGAAACCTGGAGGAAACAAGAAACATAGATGTGAAAAATTATCAGGGGTTAGCAAACTTTTTCAGAAGGGGGCCAGTCCACCATCCCTGCGACCCTGTGGGGGGCCGGACTATATATATATATATATTTGGGGGGGGGGGGAATGAACGAATTCCTATGCCCCACAAATAACCCAGAGATGCATTTTAAACAAAAGGACACATTCTACTCATGTAAAAACATGCTGATTCCCAGACCGTCTGTGGGCCGGATTTAGAAGGTGATTGGGCTGGATCCGGCCCCTGGGCCTTAGTTTTCCTACCCATGGATGTGATGTACTAAACCTGGCTCTGTATTCGCACTCTCTTCTGTCTAATCCTAGGTTGCAACACCCCCTTGGAACAAGGACCTGTCCTCATGTTGGCTGGTACCCAACTAGTTTGTTCCATCAGTGCAGGGATTTTGATTTGCACAGGGGAGACCACAGAAGAGAAGATATTACTTCTTATTTTTTTAATAACTTTAAAAAAATAACTTTTCACCCCTCTTTTTTAAAAAAGTGTCCCTGGATTCTTTGAAAAAAATCTGGTAACCTTATTATAGAATAATTATAATATGCAGCAAGAATTGGAATTTGGGGAAAACCATGGAGGGGTGGAGGGGGAAGTCCTAGGTTGATGAACAGAATTTTAAATTTTAAACGTTGAATTATTTTTCAAATTTCTATAAATATTTTTTTAAAGGTCTAAATTTGCTTGACTTGTGTATCAGATAGTTACTCCCCCCCCCCCCCATGGAGGGAAAAAATATATTAACCCTTATACCTCAGACTGTTGTGTTTATACCTTTCTTACACATCTGCAGGCAGGACTTCCTAGAGGTAAAGTTGTTTTCGTTCCCGCCGCAGCCACTGTAACTGAACGGATGACATTTGCTGGTAGTGAGATTGTAGAAGAACCTTTTCTCGTTGGCTTTGCAAAGGCCTCTGTCCCTGCGCATCACACAGAGGGAAGGGAGCAGGACTGATTCTAGGCACAGGAGGAAGGAGAAGCTCATTAAGGATCCACCAAATCGTTAATGCTCCCATTGCATTTGGGCACCTCTTAAAAAGATGTGCTCCTCTGCTTCCTGCATTTAAGTTCTCAAAACACTACCAAACCCTTTGTCACGTAAATTCCAAAACTGATAACAACACAACAACGTAACAGGCTGTATGTAACTATATACATTCTTTTAAAATGCGATTCAACATATCATATCAAAATATATGGTTCTATTGACCAACTTATCATATAAACAAAACATATTATGAGAAATTAAAGTCCAGCAGATTGATCAGGAAATACAATCTATTCAGTTCTTATATTGACAATATCCACGGTGTGGAATTCTTATATCAGTCTTGTAGTGTTCCACATGAAGATGCTTTTCAGAATTCTAGCATTCCTTGTTTGCAGGTGTCAGATGAAAAACTTGGAAGAATGACACATGCAGAAAATAAGACAAGGATTCCAGAATAATCCCTTGTTTCGCCCAACCGGGCTTCGTCAGCCGTGCAGCATTTAAGTTCACAGCAGGTTATTTGGAAAGAAGACGGGTATCTGAAAAAGTATTCTTTTAAAGTGCAGATTAACGTGGACAGAATGAGGGATGGGGGGGGTAAAAACCCAGTGACATCATCTGGAAACAGACAGAATGGTCCACATTCAGAAGAGATGGCCAAACGGCTGATTACTACTCAGTCTTTTCATTGATTTATTTGTGTGAAAAGATTTGTGTTCCGCCAACATTAAGAAAATATATATATTGTTTAAAAAAGAATGGGAAAAGTTTATACCTTATATACAAGATCATTGTCAGCAAGTCAGTGCATGGATAACTTAGAAAGATAAACATAAATGGAGAAGTATTGATATGCAGTTGAAAATAGGATCAATAGGACCCGTGGAAGGGATGGGGGTGGGGAGTCAGAAGATTCCTTGTGACAGCTCCTGTATCTTGTTTGCCTGCCATATCTAAGCTAGAAAGTTTTCCCACAATTGAATGCCTTTGTTTTGATCTAGTCAAATGCACACCTGCATTTCTTAGTTCAGCCCAGAAGTGAAAGTATTTTCGCACTCCCAAGCTGAACCATAAAATTTTCCCTTTACCCTTAAAGCGTTCCCTCCCCCCCACCAGTCCTTGTAAAACAAAAAAAAACAAAAACAAAAAAAAACCCCAGACAGAAGGAAGAGCATAAAATACCCAATACCTGTAAAAAACAGAAAATGACTGTTATCACTCTTAGGCCCCTTAACCCCCAACCAAATCTTACTTATTCAAAATTGCATGTCATATATCAAACAGGACAATTCTCCCCCAAACTAAAACCAGATATTAAACAAAAACCGGTACAGGCTGTTGATATAAAGTTAATATAAGGTTATGTACTTCTCTTCAATAGTTCTTTTCCTTTTCCAAAAAAGTGGCGGCAAATGAGAGTTAGTCCAGCTTTGTAATTGTAATCCAGAATTAAATCCGAAATTTAATCCAAATGTATAGTTCTGCAATATATTGTAATCCAAATCTTCCAATTTTTAAGCTTGAAAAATATGCATCCAGGATGTCCAAAGATATTAATTAATTGCTTATTGGCAGGTAGTATTGCATAAATTTCCCTGGTCTTCAGTAAGCACTAAATATCAAATCCAACTCTAGCTATTCCAGGTTCTCCTTCCTTCTTGGGGAATTTCTCCCCTAATATGATGGAGAGTTTTCCTGCTTAGCTTCAGTTTTGTGCCACCAAGTTCCAGGGTTTAAAGTTAAAGCTTATATTTCCACAGTACTTTTATGTAAGTCTTTTTGCTTTCTACTCTGCCAAAGTATCAATCTGTCAAATTCTGTCCAGCTGTCAATTTATATCCTACCTTTATCCAGAGGACAACTTGACACATCTTTAGCCAATATGTATCCAAGAGAAAGAGAGTCTCTCAAATGTCCAAAGTCAAACTGTTACAAAATCTCCATAGCTGCAAGGGCTATGCTGTGCTCCCATTCACAAAAAGTCCCCTTTGCAGAGCCTGTCCGCAGAAATCAGAAGCTGACTTCCTTTTTGGCTTCTGTTTCACCAAATCAATCAATTTAAACCTAATTTCTTCTCTTAATTCTTTATTTGATTTTTATCTCTAATTGGAAAATCCACTCCTTATGGTGGCGGTGTGTGGCTTCGGCTGTAGAGCGCGGCGGAGCCGTGAGCGGACTCAAGCCTTTTCCTTTCCCCCGCGCAGAAACGGCAGTCAGGGGATTATGATTGGCGAGTTTGCATGCTCTGCTGGACCTTAGAGTCCCCACTTTTCCGTGGGGAGTTTTTTGGGGGGCACCTAGCCCTGGCACGCACCTCAAAGCTCTTTCAGCCTGAACCATGTCGTCTTTTAGACAGAAGACACAGAGTGCGCCGCCATTGCTTCCGAAGCGAACCGGAAGTCCCTTTAATAAAATAATTATAATACGCAGCAAGAATTGGAACTGGGGGTAAACCATGGAGCGGTGGAAGGGAAAGCCCTAGGTTGATGAACGGAATTTTAAATTTTAAATGTTGTTGAATTATCGTTTATTTTTCAAATTTCTATAATTTTTTTTTAAAGGTCTAAATTTGCTTGACTTGTGTATCAGATAGTTATTTTTCGCTCCCAGTGGAGGAAAAAAATATTAACCCTTATACCTCAGACTGTTGTGTTTATACCTTTCTTACACATCTGCAGGCAGGACTTCCTAGAGGTAAAGTTGTTTTCGTTCCCGCCGCAGCCACTGTAACTGAACGGATGACATTTGCCGGTAGTGAGGTTGTAGAAGAACCTTTTCTCGTTGGCTTTGCAAAGGCCTCTGTCCCTGCGCATCACACAGAGGGAAGGAAGCAGGACTGATTCTAGGCACAGGAGGAAGGAGAAGCTCATTAAGGATCCGCCAAATCGTTAATGCCCCCATTGCATTTGGGCACCTCTTGAAAAGATGCGTTCCTCTGCTTGCTGCATTTAAGTTCTCACCAGGTTATTTGGAAAGAAGGCGTGTATTTGAAAAAGTCTTAATAGCACCATGGAAGGGATGAGGGTGGAGAGTCAAGAGATTCAAAGTGATCTTGATATTTGAATTCAGAATTGGTTTTGTTATATGTTTATATTCTTGAAAATCAAATTAAAAATTAAAAATTATATATATAGAGAGAGACACCATGAAGAGCATGAAATCAACAATGGTATTGCATTCATAAAAGAAGTACAAAAGACATCACAGATCAGTAGATCGGACTGATATATCAACATTGCTAGATCGCCTCTGGGTAAACAGGTGAGTGTTAAGCAGCTGCTTAAATGCCAATACCGTAGGGGTCTACAGGGTGCTGCAACACTGCAAATTGCTAAAAGTCATAGGCTTTGGATTATACAATATGAGAAACCATATTTATATCATAGGATTAAAAGCCTAGGACCTTTAACATTTGCTATTTATAAAAATAAAAATGCAGAGAAAAAAGTATGCATACCGATATGGAGGAAAATATTTTAAAAATCAGGTAAGAAACTGAATGAAATAGATAAAAAACCAAGGCAATGTTTTGCACTAACAAAGAAGTCACAACGAATGGGGTTCAGTAAATTAAATTTGACACCCGAATTCTAACAGTCCTGTGCTTTGGTCAATTTTTCTTCTTTTTATATACAGTAGCACCTCGGCTTATGTTACCCTTGGGTAACGTAAACTTCGGGTTGTGAAAGCGGCAATCCTGGAAGTGTTTCACCACGTGCGCATGCGCAGAAGTGCTCTACCGCACCTCGTGCATGCGCAGAAGTGGCCCCTCCGGTTGCGGAAACCTTGGGATCCGACCAGCGCTCTGGAACAGATCCCGTCCGCAACTGGAGTACCACTGTATATATAATTTTTATTAAATTTTGTGGTTTGCAATTTTGAATACTCATTTAAGCAATCGTAAGATATCAATGACTTCCCTTAGTCTCTTTCCATGGTTCATTTTGCATATCATAAATCCCTGCATATTTTACACAAATTAAACCCTTCAGTATTCCATCATTACATCCATCAAAACTTATTTACACTGTTGAATTTGTCTTAATGCTGCCAAAGGTTTCAAGTGTACACAATTTCACCCCGTATACAGTGGTACCTCGGGTTACATACGCTTCAGGTTACAGACTCCGCTAACCCAGAAATAGTGCTTCAGGTTAAGAACTTTGCTTCAGGATGAGAACAGGAATCGTGCACCGGCGGCGCGGCAGCAGCGGGAGGCCCCATTAGCTAAAGTGGTGCTTCAGGTTAAGAACAGTTTCAGGTTAAGAACGGACCTCTGGAACGAATTAAGTACTTAACCCGAGGTACCACTGTAGTCAATAAACATTTTCCAATCTTCTCTAAACGTATGTTCTTATTGCTCTCTTATTCTATATGTTAAGTCTGCAAGCTGCGCATATTCAATCAATATAAGTTCCCATTCTTCTTTCATTGGGACCTCACTCGTTTTCCATTTTGGGGCTAACGAAACATGGGCTGCTGTAGTGGCATACATAAATAACATTTTTTTGAAACCTGGGAATTTCCATCTGAATTATCCCCAACAAAAAGGACTCTGATTTTTTTTGGAACAAGTACTTTTATTATTTTCAATTCATTATGGATTGCTTCCTAATGTTCTTTTACCCTTTCAAAGGCCCACCACATATGAAAAATCGTTCCCTCAACCTCATTGCACCTCCAGCACTTATCTGATTCAGCCTTATACATCTTAGCAAGCCTACTCGGAATTAAATACCAGCTGTAAATCATCATCAAGTAGTTCTCCTTCAGAGAATAATATGCTGTAAACTTTTATATCTCATATGATATAAAAGAATTACAGACTTTGACAAACTCAGAAAGAGTGCATATAACTATACAATGTGCAGTTGCTACGACAATATCCACAAGCATCGTGCCTCCTCTGTTATTTACAGGCCTCCATTTTGTGCAATAAACCGTCTTGCAGCTACAATCATATGATCCAGAAATATCTCAGATACTTGTGGGGAAAGAAGGAGAGAGACTTCCCACGAGAAGGGGCCCTCCTGGATCAAACTAAGGCTGGATCTATACTGATAATAAAAAAACACTATAAAAAGAAACAGTATAAGAGCTCTCAATGCAAAATCCCATTGGGGATAGATAGAGAAAAAATCATCATCATCAGTGTTTTTTTTTCTTTAAAAAATCTTTAGGGATACTCTCATTTTCCTACTCATATTGAACTACTGACCCTCAATGAGGTCAAACTTAAGATTCACAAAATGTTTAAGGGTATGTGTCCCTCTGTGTCCCCCCAGAAAAAAGCACTGAGAATAATAATAATAATAATAATAATAATAATAATAATAATAATAATTTATTTGTACCCCACCCGTCTGACTGCCCTATAGCACCATCTGTTGTCACATGTTCATAACGCAACAAAAAAATAATACTGGGGTGGGGCAGGCCATTGGCTAGCAAAGCACAGTCCTGGCAGTAGGAGGCGCACGTTCACACAGATCTGCACTTGCCACCCGCAATCCGGGGCTTCCTGCAAACTCCGTGCCACTCTGCCTGCTCTATCCTGGCACCCCTGCAACCAGGAGGGTGGCGTAGTGCCCTGACTCATGTGCTGCAATTGATCCTGGTTGCCCTCCTATTCTGGTATGTCTCTGCCTGCAGTAAAGGTAAAGGACCCCTGGACGGTTAAGTCCAGTCAAAGGTGACTATGGGGTTGTGGCGCTCATCTCGCTTTTCAGGCCGAGGGAGCCAGCGTTTGTCCACAGACAGCTTTCCGAGTCATGCGGTCAGCAGGACTAAACCGCTTCTAGCACAACGCAACACCGTGACGATTGCCAGAGTGCAAAGAAACGCTGTTTACCTTCCTGCCACAGCGGTACCTATTTATCTACTTGCACTGGTTTGCTTTCAAACTGCTAGGTTGGCAGGAGCAATGGGAGCTCACTCTGTCGCGGGGATTTGACCCGTGACCTTCCGATTGGCAGGCCCAAGAGGCTCAGTGTTTTAGACCACAGCGCCACCTGCATCTCTGCCTACAGTGTGCTGCCTGCAATGGAGATGATGGATAGTTGGCGGAATACCTTTGCGAGAGGCAGGGAAGAGGAGATCTCCCCGGGTTGGAGGCTGGGCAGAGAAAGTGGCGCTTCCAGGTGAGAGCTGAGAGTTTGCATCTTTGTCCGCATGGGGTAATAGTTAGGACATCTCATGAGAGAGGACTTTGCATTCTTCCAGCTCTTTTTCTTCTCTTTTTTCTAAACTCTTTTGTCTTAGAATAGTTTGTTTCTTTTTATTGCATCATGAAAAAGTCTTAAGATGTAAAGGCAGTACTCAGACCAGAGTGGAATGATTCTTTCCTGAAATCTGGGCACTCTGATTATGTACAATCCCTTACCAGGGTTTTGCAAAAATAAAATAAAATGCAGATTTCCACCTGTTTTTCACTGTGGATATGAATGTGCATGTTTTACAGACATGGCTGCAAGTGTTTCCCTGCGTCTGGTACTGGTTGGCCATGCCTTTTTACTCATGGCTATCTCTTGAATGTGTGCTTCAAAAGACAGGATGAAACGAAACATGTCTATCGCAAAGCAGACAATTAAGGCTGAGGCATTGAAACACACACCGGAGGTAGAAATTGCTCCTTTTCTATTTAAAAAAGGAAATAAAAGAATAAAGTACTGATTTGTCATAATGTAGGGTTGCCATGGGGACGCGGGTGGCGCTGTGTGTTAAACCACAGAGCCTAGGACTTGCCGATCAGAAGGTCGGCGGTTCGAATCCCCGAGACGGGGTGAGCTCCCATTGCTCGGGCCCTGCTCCTGCCAACCTAGCAGTTCGAAAGCACGTCAAAGTGCAAGTAGATAAATAGGTACCGCTCCGGCGGGAAGGTAAACAGCGTTTCCGTGCGCTGCTCTGGTTCGCCAGAAGCGGCTTAGTCATGCTGGCCACATGACCCAGAAGCTGTATGCCGGCTCCCTCGGCCAGTAAAGCGAGATGAGCACCGCAACCCCAGAGTCGGTCACGGCTGGACCTAATGGTCAGGGGTCCCCTTTACCTTTTAGGGTTGCCATACATCCGGAATACTGCCGTCGGCAGCAGCTCAACAACTTTTCTGGCAACCCTATCATAATGCTACTCAATTTTTTCCAACACAAATGGCTTTCTTCCATTATTGGGATGTTTGACTGCAGCTTGAGTGGTTTCCAGAGTTTATGGCAAATGGAGCCACGATGCAAAGAAATTAATAAACTAATGCAGCAGTTTCCAATCATGTGCATACTCGAAACATTTCAAGGACATCTTATTGTGTGGCTTGCATGTTCATTCCTTGTTTTCTAACCACTATCCACACATTACACGCTGGTCCCCAGAAGTAGATGTGAGCGCAAGTGCAGATCGCCAGCAGGAAAACATGGCGAAAGGGATCCGTCTTTCCCCAGCTGTTGCTTTCTGCCTTCCGCACCACTGTGGATCACAAAAAACGACAAGCCTCAATCTCCAGTACAGCGAAGACTCATGGAGGAGTACTTGCTCCTTAAAATATGGCTTTTAGAAGAGAAACTAGCAAAGGTCTAAGATAAAAAGGAACTGAGCCAAGGTACATACTGAGGGAGCAATCCAAACTCAAGATCAGGGGTGGTCTGAGATGCTTCAGTGCTCGAATCAAAATGCTCTCTGCTGCCACTGCTTGGGAGCCAAGTTGTGCTCAACACTGCAGAGCTGTGGGCGCGCATGGCAACTATTGCATTGGCAGAGGCCAACCAGACACCATGCCATGCTGGTTGGCCCAGGTCAACATCCCGTCGGGCCGCACAGCATTGGGGCAACATCCCACCAGGCCTCCTCTGCCCCCTCAAGATTGGGGGGCCTGAGCCCCCTTTCAGGGAACATCAGAGGGTTGTAGAGGCCTCAGCCCCATAGACTTGGTGTGTCTGCGCCACTGGTAATGAGGTGGAGGGGGGTGTCATGAGGCTCCATGAGGGCTTCTCCCTAAGCGGGGGAGCTTCGGAAAGCACTTCTTAAGGAGAAGCTCTTTCCAAAGCTTGCCCCAAACCCAGTGGGGTGACAAGGCTTTGTGAGGCCTTGCCAAGCCTCGCCACCATGCCAGCGTGGGGGCGAAGCTCCCTACCTGCCTGGCGGCAAAGAGGGGCTTGGCAAGGGGAGAGTGTTATGTACTGAAGTTCTCACCCTGGGCCAGCAGGGGGATACTGTAGATACGTTCAGTGATTGGATAGTTTTGTATGCAAATGAAGGATCGAAAAGTGACGTTCAGTGATTGGATAGTTTTAGAACGTTGCAACAGTTACAATTGTTCTGTAGCTCTATATAAGCAGGCTGACTGAGCTCCTCAGTTTAGTTCTGTTCCAGCTTACAAAATAAAGAGCTGCTTTGGAGAAATCGCTGTGTCGTCTGCTATGTCAACCCACAACTTAACTCTGGCGACCAAGGTGGGATCGATGGACATCAGAGCACAGCCAGATGCGGCCATCCTCTGAACTGAGCTGAATCACTGAGCTGAATCACAGAGCGAAATCACTGAGCGAAATCACTGGACAGAACCAATTCAGAGCTGACTGTTCTGGCTAGAGCACTGTGTTCCATCCATCGCCCTTCACACCGGCATCAGAATCATGGCTTCTCTTGTGCCTCTACCACCGTTTGCGCCAGCCTCTGAATCATGAGACTCCTACCTCGCTCGGTTCGACTGCTACCTCCAAGCCAATGAGCTGACAGCAGTATCAGAGGAACGGAAGCGGGGCCTATTCCTCAGCCTCTGTGGGCCTGAGGTGTTTGAGACGGCCTGAGCATTGGTTGTGCCTGAAGCAGTCCAGGCAACACCATGGGACACGATCCAAGAGAAGCTCCGTAACCACTACGCGCCAAAGCCGTCCAAGATTGCTGCCCGCCATGCGTTTTACCACCGGAACCAGGCAGAGGGGGAGTCAATCAACAACTACACCACTGCCTTCAGACAGGCTGCAATGCACTGCGAGTTCCGAGACTTAGACGATGCCCTGATGGATCGAATCGTTTGTGGGGTCCGGGACATCCATTTGCAACGGCGTCTCCTTGCCAAGCCAGACCTCACGCTACAGAAAGCCATTGAGGAGGCTGTGGCCTCGGAAGCTGCTGAACGCTCCGCCCAGGAGATCCGCAAGTCCAGCAGCCCGCATCTTGCTAGGAAGACAGTTCCAGTGTATCACGAAGAGGCCAGCAGTGATGAGGCATCCTCCAGTGAAGACGAGGACGTGCACCAGACAAAGTGGGAGCGCAGGAAGTTCCAACAGAAGTACAAGGGCCAACCGGAATGTGCCGGCTGCGGAGGCAACCATTCCCGTGCGAAGTGTCGATTCAGAGACTCCATCTGTCGGAAGTGTTCCAGAAGGGGCCACATCGCTAAGGTCTGCCGATTGGCTCCGTCTGACACCCCCCCTTCAATGACTCGCAAGTCCAAGTCTTCACTCCAATCTGCCAAGGAAAGCTGTTTCGCTCTCACCAACTGCCGCTGCCCGTCTGGAACCACGATTGGCCAAACCGACTCGCCTACGCGACGCAAGCTGAACGTCACGGTGCTCATTGAAGGAGCTCCATGTGTCATGGAGATCGACACCGGGTCTGCCCTGTCCATCGTGTCTTGGAGCACCATCAAAAGACTGGTACCCAGAGTGTCCAAAAGGCAACTCGACTCTCACCGCGTACACCTGAGAGACTACCAGGGAAACGACATTCCCGTGGTAGGCGTTGGCCGGTTCCGAATCGCCTTAAAGGATTTTTCGGGCCTGCTGCGGCTGGTGGTGGTCGAAGGTCAGCGGCCAAGCCTCCTAGGGCTAGACTGGTTTGATGCCCTCGGCCTGGAAGTCACCGGCATCAACTGCATCTCTAACGCAGAGACTGAGGGTCTGGTCAAAGACTTTGCCGAGGTTTTTGACGGCACTTTGGGGCAATATACAGGTACGCCCATCTCCTTTAGCCTTGATCCACAAGTCGCCCCCATCAAGCTAAAGCCACGCCGGGTTCCCTTTGCTCTCAGGGCTAAGGTGGACGAACAACTGGACAAGCTGATCGCCCAAGGAGTTTTGGAGCCGGTTGACCACGCCAAGTGGGAAACCCCCATCGTCACGCCTGTCAAGCCAGATGGGTCGGTGAGAATCTGCGCTGACTACAAGTGCACGATCAGCAAGGGACTTCAGCAGCACGCTTATCCGGTTCCTGTTGTCCAACACCTGCTGCATTCCCTGGGTGAGGGTAAGGTCTTCGCTAAGCTGGACCTTGCCCAAGCCTATCAACAACTGCCCATTGATGATGCCACTGCTGAAGCCCAGACGATCGTCACCCACCGAGGGGCATTCCGTTGCCGCCGCTTGCAGTTCGGTGTGAGTGTGGCTCCTGGCATCTTCCAAAGCCTTATGGAGCGTCTCCTGCAAGGGCTTCCGGGCGTGGTACCATATTTTGATGACGTCTTGGTGTCTGCAGACTCACACCAGCAGCTATTCGAGCGCCTCCGTGCCGTGCTGACCAGATTCCAAGAGGCCGGGCTCAAGGTAAAGAGGGAGAAGTGCCAGATTGCTGTTCCACAGGTAGAGTTCCTGGGCTATCTTATCGACGCCTCCGGCCTTCACCCGACCACATCCAAGATCCGCGCTATCCAGCAGGCCCCCATCCCAAAGAACAAGACGGAGTTGCAGGCGTTCCTGGGGCTGCTGAACTTTTATAACATGTTCCTGCCCCACAAAGCCACGGTGGCTGAGCCTCTTCACCGACTCCTCAGCACAAAGACACCTTGGTCCTGGGGTCATCGGGAGACGGCAGCCTTCAACGCGGTCAAGGCTCTCCTTTCATCGGACAGTGTGCTGGTACAGTACAGTGAATCCAGGCCACTGGTCCTTGCCTGTGACGCCTCACCTTTTGGCATCGGCGCTGTCCTTAGTCACCATTTTCCAGACGGAAGAGAAGCACCGCTCGCCTACTTTTCCAGGACGCTATCTCCGACGGAACGGATTTACAGCCAGCTTGACAAGGAGGCACTGGCACTTGTGGCTGGAGTGAAGAGGTTCCATGAATACCTCTATGGCAGGACTTTTGACCTCATCACTGACCACAAGCCGCTCCTGGGCCTCCTCACCGGTGATCGTCCAACTCCACTGGTCCTCTTGCCACGCATGCTGCGATGGACAGTTTTCCTGGCTGCCTACCACTACCGGCTTGTCCATCGCCCAGGGAAATTGATGGGCCATGCCGACGCCCTCAGCCGTTGCCCTCTTCCAGCGTTTGTGGAAGACCCGGCTCCAGCTTCATCACTCCTCCTGATTGAGGATCTTCCGGCAGCGCCTGTATCGGCCTCCACTGTGGCCTCCGCATCTGCCCAGGATCGCACCATCAGCCGTGCGCTCAACTGGGTGTGGAGGGGGTGGCCACAAGGGCCTTTTGCATTGGAGTTCCAGCCCTTCGCAACCAGACAACATGAACTCTCGGCTCATCGCGGCTGTCTGCTGTGGGGAGACCGCGTCGTGATTCCCCAAAGACTCCGTCAACACGTCTTGGAGGCTCTGCACGTTGGCCACCTGGGAATTGTCAAAATGAAGGCGTTGGCTCGGTGTTACGTCTGGTGGCCTAACATGGACGATGCCATCACTGCCTGGGTGTCCGCCTGTCAAGCGTGCCAAGAATCGAGGCCTGCACCACCGGCAGCTAAGGGACACACCTGGGAGATGCCAAAGACACCCTGGTCGAGGGTGCACATCGATCTGGCCGGCCCCTTTGACGGCCGGACCTTTATGGTAGTGGTGGACGCCTATTCCAAATGGCTGGAGGTTGCCCTCATGCCCTCCACCACTACCGAGGCCGTCATCCGGGTGCTGCGAGGCCTCTTTGTGACGCATGGGTGTCCTGATGTTCTTGTCTCCGATAACGGACCGCAATTCACATCAGGCACTTTTGAGCGGTATCTTTTGGGACTGGGCATCCGCCATTCACTAACGGCACCATTTCATCCATCCAGCAACAGGCAAGTGGAGAGAATGGTGCACTTGACAAAAGAGGCACTGGCGCGCCTGGACCGGGGAGACTGGCACGAGCGGGTCGCCGAATACTTGTTCGTGCAACACATCACCCCTCATGCGGCCACAGGGCGGAGTCCTGCTGAACTGCTTATGGGCCGCCGCCTCAGGTCACCGCTCGACCGGCTGCACCCGGACTTTGCCGTGGCCGAACCCCCAGGCTGTGCCAACGCGCCACGGTCATTTGTTCCAGGAAACCAGGTCTTTGCCCGGAACTATGTGGGGGACATTCCTTGGGTGCCAGCCACAGTAGTGGGAGTCACTGGACCTCGCTCGTACCAGGTGGCACTCGAAGACGGACGCTTGTGGCGCCGGCACATAGACCAGCTTAGGCGCAGGGTTGGGGACTTGGACACTACCGTGGTGCCCCCAACTGCGCTCGTGACTCCAGAAGAGACACTTACAGATGGTGAGGCTCCACCTACACTTCCCTCGCAAACTGCCAGCGTGGAGCCGAACCAAGCCGCTTCAGAGGGTCTGCCAGACTTACCACAGGCTCAGACCACTCCACTTGCGGAGGCTCCACCCACAGCAGCGGATCCAGGGGATTTGGTTTCAACGCCACCTAGGGTCGCACCACAGCCTCAGCAAGAATTGTGTGGCCCCCCGGACTTGGCTACCAGTCCCCGGCGGTCTGGCAGAGTTTCCAAGCGCCCAACTTATTTAAAGGACTATGTTGTTGGACATGTATCACTGTTGGTCTAAGTATGGGAAATGTAACCGATATGCTTTTGTGCCTAATTGAACCATTACGTGTAGTGCTGTATATAAGGAAACCATTACAATTGTAACTAACGCCTTATCTCGGTGGGGAGGGGTGTTATGTACTGAAGTTCTCACCCTGGGCCAGCAGGGGGATACTGTAGATAGTTATGCAAATGAAGGATCGAAAAGTGACGTTCAGTGATTGGATAGTTTTGTATGCAAATGAAGGATCGAAAAGTGACGTTCAGTGATTGGATAGTTTTAGAACGTTGCAACAGTTACAATTGTTCTGTAGCTCTATATAAGCAGGCTGACTGAGCTCCTCAGTTTAGTTCTGTTCCAGCTTACAAAATAAAGAGCTGCTTTGGAGAAATCGCTGTGTCGTCTGCTATGTCAACCCACAACTTAACTGAGAGGCTTTCTGCAGACCTTTGTCACCGGTCCCTCTCTCCTACCGCTGCAGCAAGCAGGACCTGAGTGCAAGAGAACTCTCCTTGCTTGCGATTCCTGGAGGCAGAAAAATAGACTTATACAGTGGTACCTCGGGTTAAGTACTTAATTCGTTCCGGAGGTCCATACTTAACCTGAAACTGTTCTTAACCTCAAGCACCACTTTAGCTAATGGGGCCTCCTGCTGCTGCCGCGCCATCGGAGCACGATTCTGTTCTCATCCTGAAGAAAAGTTCTTAACCTGAAGCACTATTTCTGGGTTAGCGGAGTCTGTAACCTGAAGCGTATGTAACCTGAAGCGTATGTAACCCGAGGTACCACTGTAACTTGTTCCCAGAGAACCAGGAGCTCGTGGCACCTTCAGCACACCCAGGGCTTCTGTCCAACAGGGTGATAGTCGTACATGTGGCCAGAACTTCAGGGCTGTTTCCTTTATACCCGAGGTACCACTGTATATGTCTACTCCAAATTAAGTCTTACTGAATTTACAGGGGTTACTCCCAGATAAGTACAGTGGTACCTCAGGTTACATACGCTTCAGGTTACAGACTCCGCTAACCCAGAAATAGTACATCGGGTCAAGAACTTTGCTTCAGGATGAGAACAGAAATCGTGCAGCGGCAGCAGGAGGCCCCATTAGCTAAAGTGGTGCTTCAGGTTAAGAACAGTTTCAAGTTAAGAACAGACCTCCAGTACGAATTAAGTTCTTAACCCGAGGTACCACTGTAGCTGGAGGATTGCAAAACTATTATGTGTGTTTTGAATGAGTATATGGGCATCTGTTAAGTGAGAGAGAGAGTGTGTGTTTGTGGGGTGGCCCCTGAGCACACACCCATTGCTGTACATGTGGCCCTCAGAGGCACCCATTTTTAAAATGGGTGTTACGTTATACGAAATGTTTTTGTGTGCGTGTATGTAATAATTTTTATTAGTTTTCAGTTACAATAGCCCAATAAAAGCCTCATTGTCTACACCAAACTTTATAAGACACCAATTATAATACAATTAATAATGCCAATTGTTCAGATGCCAAATTATATTATTTTGTTGGCCACCCACAGGCTAGAATTGATGATTTGATAATTTACTTTAACTCTGCATTCCAATAACTTATAAATTCCAATTACACACCAGTCAGAATAACAAACCCTTATACGGAATATTAATGTATTAGTGTATTATATTATTCTCCCCACTCCCCCCCCCCAAGGTAATATGTATTGCATATCTTTCCTTTATATTGTTGCTTTTGCTGTAAGTCACTTGGAGACCTTTGGGTGAAAAGTGACTAATAAGTCTAATAAAAACAAAACAAAACAAAACCATAATTTATTTATACCCTGTCCATCTGGCTGGGTTTCCCCAGTCACTCTGAGCGGCCGCCAACAGAATATTATAAGCACAATAAAAAAAACCAACCATTAAAAACTTCCCTAAACAGGGCTGCTTTCAGATGTCTTCTAAAATTCAGATAGTTGTTTATTTCCTTGACACCTGATGGGACGGTGTTCCACAGGGTGGGCACCACTACCTCTGCCTGGTTCCCTGTAACCTCACTTCTCGCAGTGAGGGAACCGCCAGAAGGCCCTCGGCGCTGGACCTCAGTGTCCAGGCTGAACGATGGGGGTGGAGACGCTCCTTCAGGTATACTGGACCAAAGCCATTTAGGGCTTTAAAGGTCAGCACCAACACTTTGAATTGTGCCCGGAAACGTACTGGGAGCCAATGTAGGTCTTTCAGGACTGGTGTTATATGGTCCTGGTGGCCACTCCCAGTCACCAGTTTAGCTGCCGCTTTCTGGATTAGTTGTGTATCACCTTCAAAGGTAGCCCCACGTAGAACGCATTGCAGTAGTCCAACATCGAAACATTTAAATTAATAAACATTTAAAGCACATCCAACAGGCATTTAGAGCACCTGACTTCTCCCAAAGAATTATGGGAGCCGTACTTTGTTAAGGAGGCTGAGAACTGCAGCCCTGTGAAGTTCCCAGAATTTCTTTTGTTTGTGGGGGTGGAGAGGAAATATCTTTGGATATGCTTTGAATGCATACTGTGTATCTGTCCACTGACACTGGAGGTATCATATAGCTACCAGGTCTAATAGCCACTGATAGTCTTTCTGTTAAAAAGCCAGAAGCTTTCTTGTTAGGTATTATAGCGCAAGAACTGCCAAAGGTGTGGAAGAAGTTATTCATGTATGCTACGACAGCGTCTAGGATTTTACTAGCCCCAAAATGGAAGGACGACAAGATACCAACGAAAGAAGAATGGCAAGTTAAACTTCTAGAATACACAGAAATGGCGAAACTTACAGGGAGACTTAGAGACAATGACAGTAGAGACTTTTAAAAAGACTGGGAACCGTTTATGTTGTATATATAGAAACGATGCAAATAATTTGGACTCACTAGCAGGGCTGAGTAAACGCTTACCGCTAAGAAAACAAGAGTAAAGGTTAGGAAATAACAATATGGAAATTAATCAAGTGTGAGATTTAAACCTGAAAGAAAATGTGGTATAAAAATGATAAGAATATAAGAGCATTTAGGAAAAAGATCGTGAAAAGTAAGAAACAAATTAAGCAGAAGTAAAGGTAAAAGTACCCCTGACCGTTAGGTCCAGTCGCGGATGACTCTGGGGTTGCGGCGCTCATCTCGCTTTACTGGCCGACGGAGCTGGCGTTTGTCCGAAGGCAGCTTCCGGGTCATGTGGCCAGCATGACTAAGCCACTTCTGGTACAACCAGAGCAGCTCACGAAAACGCCATTTACTTCCCCGCTAGAGTGGTACCTATTTATCTACTTGCACTTTGACGTGCTTTTGAACTGCTAGGTTGGCAGGAGCTGGGGCTGAGCAACGGGAGCTCACCCCGTCGCGGGGATTCGAACCACCGACCTTCTGATCGGCAAGTCCCAGGCTCAGTGGTTTAGACCATGGCGCCACCCATGTCCCTTAAGCAGCATTTACTTAAAGAACCAGAAGGGGAAGCTGAGGGAAGTCACGGGGTCGGGGGAGTTTTGTTTTCTTTCATTTTGTCTCTTTTATATGATAAATGTGTTGAATATTAAATTGTAAAATCTAATAAAAAATTATTTTTTAAAAATAGCCACTGATAGTCTTGTCCTCTATTGTCTAATTCTCTGATTCTCTAATTATCCAAGTTAGTGGCCATTGCACCTTGTGGTAGCAAATTCCATCTTTTAACTGCGGGCTGACGTCTGACTCTGAGTGCCTTGCCATTGTGACTAGTGAGGAGCTGCCTGTAGAATCACAGAATCATAGAACGGTAGAGTTGGAACGGTAGATGACCCAGGGGTCATCTAGTCCAACCCCCTGAAATGAAGGATTATTTTTTGTGCTGAAAATGGGACTCAAACCCACAAGCCTGAGATTAAGAGTCTCATGCTCTACCAACTGAGCTGCCCCACAGCTTATATGTATAAACCCCTCAAGTTTCTTCTTGTCCCCTTGTACAATGCCTTACGAATATGCACGTATAATGAATCAAAGGAACTGTTCAAAATAATTTTTATTTAAAAAAACAACAACAGAAGATTTTCTTTTGGGGTAATTGCCTAAAAACAATCAATCAATCAATCAATCAATCAATCAATCAAGTTTATGTATGCTACAACAGGGGACGTGGGTGGTGCTGTGGGTTAAACCACAGAGCCTAGGACTTGCCGATCAGAAGGTCGGTGGTTCGAATCCCCGCGACGGGGTGAGCTTCCGTTGCTCGGTCCCAGCTCCTGCCAACCTAGCAGTTCGAAAGCACGTCAAAGTGCAAGTAGATAAATAGGTACCACTCCGGCAGGAAGGTAAATGGCATTTCCATGTGCTGCTCTGGTTCGCCAGAAGCGGCTTAGTCATGCTGGCCACATGATCCGGAAGCCGTATGCCGGCTCCCTCAGCCAATAAAGCGAGATGAGCGCCGCAACCCCAGAGTCAGTCACGACTGGACCTAATGGTCAGGGGTCCCTTTACCTTTATGCTGCAACAGAGACCAGGATGCTTAACGCTCAGAGATGGAAAGAAGATTATGTATCAACGAAGGAGGAGTGGCAGATTAAATTATTGAATTATGATGAAATGGCAAAGTTTATGGGAGCTATAAGGAACCAAGAGGAGAAATACTTTATCAGAGACTGGGGGAAATGTGTGGATTATTTGAAAGGTTATTGTACACATAGAAGGTGATTAGCAGGGTTAACTTAAACCAAACAGTTAAAACGAAATTCAAGGAGAAATCAAGGATTAACTAATAATTTGAATAATGAAGACAATGCAGTGTCAGAAACTAAAATAATATAAGAAACCTCAAAAGGAGCAGGAGGAAGTCAAACTATTCATGTTTATTGTAACATTGGATTTGTATTGTTGTTAAAATATATTTTTAAAAACTGAAAAATTTTTTTTAAAAAAATGTGCATGTACTCCTGCACAATGACCATCTTCCACCAAAAAGAATCTTGATGCAACCATATATATTCGCATCAAGCCTGAGTTTTTTTGGTATGTTTTATCAAAACATATTTGCATATCAGTGCCATACGGGAGAGAAAGGTATCATGGAAATGAGTTGCTATTTTAGGTTCATTTACTTACACTTGACAAAAGGGGTAGTTTATTCCCATTTCCATGCTCATAACTGACAAATACAACAATGGAGAATTCTTAATGCACTGGTACCTCTTTGAATCTCATCTCACGCTGATGAGAGAACCCTATAATTCATACTTAGTGCTAAATTTTGAATACATACCTTGTTTTACAACTGGAGTAGTATTATTCGTTGTGCTAACCAGCATGTCGGTTATTTGCAATGAATTGGCAGAATGAACTAAAAGGGATGAAACAATGATAAAAGAAGCTTTTAAGAAGTGTGCATAATTAGTAGAGAAAACAATGATTGACATATAACTCATATAATAAGAGTGCATTACCCGAAACCATCTTCTCACTATTTTATTTTAGCACAAGTTGCTCTTTTAGGCTGATTTATGTTTCAGTTACATTTTACAAAAGGTTTATTCCCGTTTGAAATTCAGCAGTGCAGAATTCTGATACCTTATAGTTCTTCCCCCAACTTCTTCACTGAGGATTAAATCACTTCCCCTTCCTCTTCGACTTGCCCTGAGACTAAGAGGAAACAATGGGCTGTATCCAGAGTAACAGTGCAATTCTAACCATGTTTATTTGGAAGGTAGTGCCACAGAGTTGAAAGAGCTTACTCCTAAGTAAACAGGGGAAGGATTGTAGCCCCAATTTGTTGAGCTTGTTGCTGTTGTTGTTTAGTCGTTTAGTCGTGTCCAACTCTTCGTGACCCCATGGACCAGAGCACGCCAGGCACTCCTGTCTTCCACTGCCTCCCGCAGTTTGGTCAAACTCATGCTGGTAGCTTCGAGAACACTGTCCAGCCATCTTGTCCTCTGTCGTCCCCTTCTCCTTGTGCCCTCCATCTTTCCCAACATCAGGGTCTTTCCCAGGGAGTCTTCTCTTCTCATGAGGTGGCCAAAGTATTGGAGCCTCCACTTCAGGATCTGTCCTTCCAGTGAGCACTCAGGGCTGATTTCTTTCAGAATGGATCGGTTTGATCTTCTTACAGCCCATGGGACTCTCAAGAGTCTCCTCCAGCACCATAATTCAAACGCGTCAATTCTTCGGCCATCAGCCTTCTTTATGGTCCAGCTCTCACTTCCATACATCACTATTGTTGAGCTTAGGTACTATTAAAATCCATTGGCCAAGTTAGTTGTGACTTAAGTCCCACTGATTTGAATGGGAACATGCAGTGCTATCCTATTTATTTATTTACTTATAAAGTACAGTCGTACCTTGGATCTCAAACGCCTTGGCTTCTGAACAAATCGGCCCCCTAACGATCGAAACCCGGAAGTGAGTGTTCCGGTTTTCAAATGATTTTCAGAAGCCAAATGTCCTCCACAGCTTCTGATTGGCTGCAGGGACTTCCTGCAGCCAATCAGAAGCCGCGCTTCGGTTTCTGAACGTTCTGGAAGTCGAACAGACTTCCGGAACGGATTCCGTTTGACTTCCAAGGTACGACTGTATTTGTATGCCACCCTCTTGCACAACCTCAGTGACATACAAAAGTTTAAAAGCAATACAGAGTGATCATTAAAGCCACAGGCTACTCAGAGAGATATTTTAAACAATTGCAAAGGCCTGTTGGCATAAAAGAAACGGCCCCAAAAATGGAAAGGAAAAGAGGTACCTACAAAAGAAATGTGGCAGAATAAATTGATAGAATACACGGAACCAGCACCTATGACCGTGAAAATAAGAAATAATAAAGATGAGGCTAAAAGAAGTGTGGAAGTGCTTGGGAGAATATTTTAGAAGGTATAATATTCTATCAAATCTCCAAGTTAGAATAAACCTATGAGCAGCAGATAATATCAAATATGGAAAGACTTGAGACAAAATTGGGTGGAAGATCAGTGTTAGAGGTATAGGTTGGTTGCTCGAGAGCAATCAGGCAATAAGCTGCAATAGTCTATTTTAAAGCTTTCTTATCGGTGATAAAAACCTTTGGAAAAGCAGAGCGCCTCTATTCCGTGTCTTGCTCATTCACTGGCAGAATCCGTGAGTGGGCGGTCCTTAAACCTTCCCCAGCAGAGTAGTTTCTTGATGCCCAGTCTGCACTTCCCCTCTCTGCGCGGAAGCCTACTGAGCAAGGAGGGCGTGGGTAACGGAGGACCTCTCCCCTCCCCGCTTTGCCCAGGCAAGGTGTCCTGGCACCGCCTCGCCTCCCCTGAGCCCTGAAGCTCCTCTCCGCTAGAGGCGTGGTTACTCTGCTCCGCTGAGGAAGTGCTGCTTCCCACAATCTTTGGGGGCTTTCTGTAATCCATTTGGCTTTCCCCCTCTCGCCCCTGAGCCAATGGCAGTTCCCTGACAATCAGGATATGCAACCGATCAGTGTTTGCATAGAATGCCACAGAGAGATGGACTGGGAAGTCTTTAGGAAAAGGATAACTGATGGACAATGTGTGATGTAAGTACAACAAAATCCATCTTCAAGGGAAAAGAGACATGGCAGACATCACGGTTTCAGGTAGAGATTGGACCTTCTTGACATGGTATAACCATCACACCGTCTACTATGGGCACCAAGGGACATAATAAGATACAGTACCAGAAGAAAAGGCCACTTACGGTTGTCCTCACAGGTATCTTGGCATTCTTTCAAAGTATGAAAGTTGTTTTGGTTTCCTAGGCAACCACCATACTGGAACTTCTCACACTTCATCGATTCCTTGTTGAAGAAATACCGGGTAATTAATCCTCGACAGATACCGGGGTCATTCTCCAGAAGGCAGTAAGGAGGCTTTCCTGCGAATGGAGATTGTTTGAGGGGAGAAAATGTCAGAGAATCCAATATGGCCATTAATGAAGGACTTACTGCAGTTTACCAAAAGTGGGCACAATCTAACTCAATTTAAGCATTTTGGCAAAGCGTGGAAGACAAATAGGGGCAAAGCAAGAATGCAATGTATTTTCTGCTGCTGAGGATCAGAAAACTAAAACATTGATTGAAAAACCAGCTAAGATGTATTTTAAAGTATCAAAAAGATGATTAAAATCAGCTGTAACCAAAAAGAAACAAAACACAGGTAACACACATAGAACACATTTCTTACAGTTACCTCTCTGAGATTTTGATCTCTTTTTCTTCTCAGGCACATCTGAAATCGAAAGAAAATGTTTTTAGTGTAGACCTGGGGAAAAAATAGCATTTACTAAAGAAAAGTATATATTTTTGCCCATAATGATATACCCCATAGCACTGAATCATTTCTCATTGTTCCAGAGTGTTTATCTAACCAAAATTCCATATTTTATTTTAGAAATGCTGCACATGATCCCATTCTCTGTCCCAGCTCCTGCCAACCTAGCAGTTTGAAAGCACACCAATGCAAGTACATAAATAGGTACCTCTGTGGTGGGAAAGTAAATGGCATTTTCGTGCGCTCTGGTTTTCATCACAGTGTCCAGTTGCACCAGAAGCGGTTTAGTCATGCTGGCCACATGATATGGAAAGCTGTCTGTGGACAAATGCCGGCTCCCTCGTCTTGAAGCAAGATGAGTGCTGCAACCCCGCAGTTGCCTTTGACTGGACTTAACCACCCAAGGGTCCTTTACCTTTACCTTTTTTTAGGCATAGGATTGCAACAACAATCTAACTAATTTAACAGTAGATTCGATCAAATCTGCCCCAGCATGAATATTGTCTTATGTGCAGCCATGTCATCTTAATTTTTTCAGAGGTGACATTTGATCAGGAGTAAGGCTCACGTGAAGTACCAACAGCTGTGGACAACTAGGCATGTTGGGATTAATGCAAGAAGAGGAGTGAATGAGAGCAGTAACGGGATTTGATATTTCAGCTGAAACCTGAATCCAGAGACCAGCTGGAGTGTTCCATCACATGAGCCTAACCCATACACAATGAATTCCTGGCTGATTGTCAAAAGCTAATCTACAATTTGAATTTGCTTGCCTACAAGTGTTGCCAGTACTGTGTGTGTTTGTATTTATGTGTGTACAGTGGTACCTCGGGTTAAGTACCTCGTTCCGGAGGTCCGTTCTTAACCTGAAACTGTTCTTAACCTGAAGCACCACTTTAGCTAATGGGGCCTCCTGCTGCCGCCGCGCCGCCGGAGCCCGATTTCTGTTCTTATCCTGAAGCAAAGTTCTTAACCTGAAGCACTACTTCTGGGTTAGCAGAGTGTGTAACCTGAAGCGTATGTAACCTGAAGTGTATGTAACCCGAGGTACCACTGTATTTGCTTTGTTGCAGCTTTCATGATCACATGGAAGGCAAAAAGGGCAACCTGCTATAGCTGTAATGCTTTAAGAGATATGAAAAAAGGTTTACAATTGGGTAAAAGCTTAATGGTAAGGATTTGCTGAACTAACAAACTGAACTGGAATACAAAAAAGGGAGGTACGAGGAGGTCCGGGGAAATAAGAGCAAGGAAGATAGGTTATGGAAAATTATTGTGTTTTTAACTGTTTTATTTTGTATGTTTTTCCTTATTTTCTACTTTTTTGTTATATCTTAAAACTTTATACTTTTTTCTTTATTTTGTATTTTCATGTATTTTTTGAAACTTTAATAAATATCATTATAAAAAAAAAAAAGGGCAACCTGCTATAATGGCGCTAGTCAAAGTGGGTGGGATGCTTCACGAACCAAATATGGTACCCATTCCTGGCACATTAGGGGGCAAGTTGTCAGTCCTCCCCATCAGTTTAAGAAGCAGTGTGCTATAATGCTATATGTTTTAATGGGCTTTCCCACGTTTTTCTTTATATCCAAGAATTGAGCCAAATGCCTGAATTGGGCTCTTAGCTTTCCGTTGGCCTGATAATAACCACATTCGCTTTGCTCGTTTCCTCTTTTGCTAAGAGGATGCTCCAAACACAGCTGATGTTTTGCCTTTGAAATGATTCACTTGTGTGAGCACTGCAATGTCTGGGTTTGGTTCACGCGCCACATGCTTGTCACAGTGATGACCGGCACTTGTGAAATGGTCCCATTCCACACCAGAGTAAGGGCTTCAGGGTAATCTGTTGTCACTTCCAAGGGAACCAATTTCAGTGGGAGCAGTTCACTTTTTCAGTCATCAAGTGATAAGCCTTTGATAAAGTATTAAGTTTAAAAACTACACATGTAAGAGTCAGCTGTAGGCAGTGAAGTCTGCTGCTCGTTAGAACTGGTAGGGTGAAAGGCAGGGAGACCCACAGTAGGTGGCGACAGAGGACATGGCAAGCTATGCCAGAGACAGCAAGAGGCAGAGGCACTAATTCTGCTTCCCTGTTGAGTTCTAATTAGGAAGCTGACATCCAGTTGTCACCCTCTGGAGTCTAGACCAATGGTTTTCAACCAATGTGCCATGGCACACTAGCATGCTTTGAATGATGGTCAGGGATGCCGTGAGCAACACTGACCTCTGTCCCTCTTTCCTTCCCTCCCTCCTCTGATGCCCTCTGATGCAAACAACATGGCAGTCAGTCCTGCCATTTGAAAACCTGCTGCTCCCATTGGCTGCCTCCAATACTAGACATGAAGTGATGTATCAGTTATTTGTTTACTTATACAGTGGTACCTCGGGTTAAGTACTTAATTCGTTCCGGAGGTCCGTACTTAACCTGAAACTGTTCTTAACCTGAAGCACCACTTTAGCTAATGGGGCCTCCCGCTGCTGCTGGAGCACAATTTATGTTCTCATCCTGAAGCAAAGTTCTTAATCTGAAGCACTATTTCTGGGTTAGAGCAGTCTGTAACCTGAAGCGTATGTAACCTGAAGCGTATGTAACCCGAGGTACCACTGTATAAAGCAGTTGCACTTCAGCAAAAAGGCTCCTGGAAGCGCTAACATGCAATCAGTTTAAAAAAGACTGTCTTAAAATATAGGGGGGAAAGAAAGAGGGGAGAGAAGAGGGAGAAAAGCAAACCCAGGTACCAATTCATAAAGTGAAACAACATTCACTTTATGTGCCACAGGGTTCTGTCTTGGGCCTGGTCTTATTCAACATCTTTATCAACGACTTGGATGATGGACTCAAGGGCATCCTGATCAAATTTGCAGATGACACCAAACTGGGAGGGGTGGCTAACACCCCAGAGGACAGGATCACACTTCAAAATGACCTTGACAGATTAGAGAACTGGGCCAAAACAAACAAGATGAATTTTAACAGGTAGAAATGTAAAGTATTGCACTTGGGCAAAAAAAATGAGAGGCACAAATACAAGATGGGTGACACCTGGCTTGAGAGCAGTACATGTGAAAAGGATCTAGGAGTCTTGGTTGACCACAAACTTGACATGAGCCAACAGTGTGACACGGCAGCTAAAAAAGCCAATGCAATTCTGGGCTGCATCAATAGGAGTATAGCATCTAGATCAAGGGAAGTAATAGTGCCACTGTATTCAGACCTCACCTGGAGTACTGTGTCCAGTTCTGGGCACCACAGTTCAAGAAGGACACTGACAAACTGGAACGTGTCCAGAGGAGGGCAACCAAAATGGTCAAAGGCCTGGAAACGATGCCTTATGAGGAACGGCTAAGGGAGCTGGGCATGTTTAGCCTGGAGAAGAGGAGGTTAAGGGGTGATATGATAGCCATGTTCAAATATATAAAAGGATGTCACATAGAGGAGGGAGAAAGGTTGTTTTCTGCTGCTCCAGAGAAGTGGACACGGAGCAATGGATCCAAACTACAAGAAAGAAGATTCCACCTAAACATTAGGAAGAACTTCCTGACAGTAAGAGCTGTTCGACAGTGGAATTTGCTGCCAAGGAGTGTGGTGGAGTCTCCTTCTTTGGAGGTCTTTAAGCAGAGGCTTGACAACCATATGTCAGGAGTGCTCTGATGGTGTTTCCTGCTTGGCAGGGGGTTGGACTCGATGGCCCTTGTGGTCTCTTCCAACTCTATGATTCTATGATTTCCTATAAGGATCCGATGGGAGGAAAATGTGCTGCATTTAACCTAAAGAAAGAGAGAAATGGAGGAAGACATGTACTGACCTGGTACTACGCACTTTAGCTGGCACTCCTCTAGAGTCAGAAAGTTGTTTTCATTGCCTTCGCATCCGCCATAGTTAAAGATTTCACACTGGCGGGTTTGGATGTCAAAGTGATACCGGACATGCAATGCTTTGCAGGGCCCGCCATCCGCTTTGAAGGCACAGATGGACATGCCCAGTTTCAGTGGGGGCCAAGCAGGACCTGGAGGAAGATGAAGGAAAGCTCAGCATATCACAATCCACTTATAAACACCATTTCCAACTCCTCAAAAGATTCCATCAATGGTGTTTCTGAAAAATCTTACACATCACTTGAGAAGACAGGCAAACTAATGCCAGCATACTGGAAGAAGCAAAGATCACCAGTGTCGAAGCAATGATTCTTCAACATCAACTTCGCTGGACTGGTCATGTTGTGAGGATGCCTGATGATCATCTTCCAAAGCAACTACTCTATTAAGAACTTAAAAATGGAAAGCGTAATGCTGGTGGTCAACAAAAGAGGTCTAAAGACTCTCTCAAGGCAAATCTTAAAAAATGTAGTATAAACACCGACAACTGGGAAACATGTTTTACAGACATGGCTGCAAGTGTTTCCCTGCATCTGGTACCGGTTGGCCATGCCTTTTTATTCATGGCTATCTCTTGAATTGGGATGCGGGTGGTGCTGTGGGTTAAACCACAGAACCTAGGACTTGCCGATCAGAAGGTCGGCGGTTCGAATCCCCGTGAGGGGGTGAGCTCCCGTTGCTTGGTCCCAGCTCCTGCCAACCTAGCAGTTCGAAAGCACGTCAAAGTGCAAGTAGATAAATAGGTACCACTCCGGCGGGAAGGTAAACGGCGTTTCTGTGCGCTGCTCTGGTTCGCCAGAAGCGGCTTAGTCATGCTGGCCACATGACCCGGAAGCTGTACGCCGGCTCCCTCGGCCAGTAAAGCGAGATGAGCGCCGCAACCCCAGAGTCGGTCACGGCTAGACCTAATGGTCAGGGGTCCCTTTACCTTTACCTTTTACCACTGATAGGTAAGAGAGAGACCTGGGTGTTCAAGCCATGCTACACAAAACAGTGAAATATAGATCAGCATTTGTGGATTCCATTAGATCAGGGGTTGGCAAGGTTTACCTCACCTGGGCCGGTTTACTCCAGTGGAGATCCTTCCGTGGGCCAGATCGCACATGCACATGAGCATGCATGAGCGTGATTTCTGGCGTCTGCGCAGACACGATTTCCGGCATGTGCAGATGTGATTTCCGGTACCGTGAAAGCAAGTCCCCAAGCCGTGCTGCGCCAGTTTAGTGCAGTGCGCGAGGACTTGCTGAGCGGGCGGCTTGGTTCGGGGGTGGCTTGTGGGCCAGTTAAATGACTCCCGTGGGCCGTTTGTGGCCCATGGGCCTTAGGTTGCCAACCCCTGCATTAGACAGTGTGACACCAATTCCAGTATTTTAAACTGTTTTTATATGTGGAATTGTTTTTCAACATTTGCATTGTTTTTATACACTGAATTTTTTAATTTTTTAAAAAATATAATTGTTTTATATATTGAGCCTGTTTTTACTTGTTTTTACACTTTCCCTGTTGTATAGTTGCAACCGTTTTCTCTGTTTCAAGATTGCCCATTTCATTGACGTAACCTGCCCTGGAGCCTTCTGGTTAAGGGTAGGTAAGAAATCTAACAAATAAAAAATTATACAAATGGCAGCTTGGGCTCTAAATGCATGCCTGTTTTTCTTGCAGGGAGCTACGAATATGTTAAATGTGCCACGTCGTACCTGAATGCCGATGAGCACCAAATGTTCTCCAGAGGGCAGCATCGCCCCCAGAAAATAACAGACCAGAGAGTCATAAATTCAACGGACTCACTGGAACATGCAGATCTAAAGCCAACACCCACCCACAGTTTTTGCAGTTTCCTAGTAAGAAGCTGACAGGCCACAAATTAATACATACCCAAGTTTTTAAAAAGCCAATTTGGGGATTAAATGTAAAGGTTAAAGGGACCCCTGACCATTAGGTCCAGTCGTGGCCGACTCTGGGGTTGTGGCACTCATCTTGCTTTATTGGCCGAGGGAGCCAGCGTACAGCTTCCGGGTCATGTGGCCAGCATGACTAAGCCACTTCTGGCGAACCAGAGCAGCGCATGGAAACGCCATTTAGCTTCCCGCCAGAGCAGTACCTATTTATCTGCTTGCACTTTGACGTCTTTTCGAACTGCTAGGTTGGCAGGAGCAGGGACCGAACAATGGGAGCTCACCCCGTCACTCGGATTCGAACCGCTGACCTTCTGATCGGCAAGTCCTAGGCTCTGTGGTTTAACCCACAGCGCCACCCGTGAATTTGGGGATTAGGTGCAGTTTAAAAGGAAGCAGCTGCTCTCAGACCTTACAATTTTTTCCCAGGGTGGTGTGTCCCTTTACAGTTTTGTGAAGGCGGAGTTCTGTGAGCATACCCTTCGAATAAAAAATCTGCAAGAACTTTACAAAACTGCATATTATTATTATTATATTTAATTTTTTATACTGCCCTATGCCCGCAGGTCTTATGGCAGTTCGCAAGGTAAGATCACACCATAAAAACACAAAATACTGTACATAACACAAATAAAAACAAGAACAACTTAATAATCCCCCCCTCCCCAGCACATTTTAAAAGGGCCTTGGATGTCAATCAGTCAAAGGCCTGGTTGCAAAGGCAAGTTCTTGCCTAGTATCTAAATATCCTTAACCATAGCACCAGGCAAGCCTCCCTGGGGAGAGTATTCCACAGGCGGGGAGCCACTGCAGAGAAGGCCCTGTTCTCGTGTTGCCACCCTCTGAGCCTCTCGAACCTTTTAATTGTTCTCTAAGATGCGGAGGGAGGAAAAAGCAAAACCGGGACGTTCCGGGATCAAATCAGAAACCGCATGCCTTCTGTAATTCCAGGACTGTCCCTGGGAAATAGGGACACATGGAGGGTATGGTACCAGGAGTGGTGGTGGGGAGCTAGTTGAGATGGTGGGGTGTGTTGTGTGGTGCAAACACATACCTGTAGGAGCACTGCATTGGCTCTGCTGGTGTGTCTGCACCACACTGACCAAGCTGCTGTCTTCCCCTTGCATTCCTAGTAAACAACAGTGACACCCTTGCTGGGAGGTCAGGCAAGTGCAGGCACAGGCAAACTCGGCCCTCCAGATGTTCTGGGGCTACAACTCCCATCTTCCCTAGCTAACAGGACCAGTGGTCAGGGATGATGGGAGTTGTAGTCCCAAAATATCTGGAGGGCTGAGTTTGCCTGTGCCTGGTTAAGTGCCTCCACCCAACTAGGCTGTCCACTACTCAGTAAATAGCTTCATGGCCCTATCCCTAAGCCATAGACCCAGCCTCACATACCTTTGAGCTGGTGCTAGATATGGATGCCAATTTTCTTTCTTTTCTTTTAAAAAACTAACACGCCAACCACAGGTGCATTTGGGCCTGATGCCCAACAATTGCTGTTACTTATTTTAAAAAAGAAGCATTGATTAGAATATTCCACCAAATATAAATACAGTGGTACCTTAGTTCTCAAACAACATGGAACCTAAACACTGCAAACCCGGAAGTAAGTGTTCCGGTTTGTGAACTTCTTTCGGAAGTAGAACGTGCTCCGTTTTGAGTGCTACACTTCTGATTTGAGCACCACACTTCCGATTTGAGTGCCACAATTCTGTTTTGAGTGTTGCGCTAAGATCTGTCTGTTATTCCTATTTATTTTGCGTTTTTGTTTTTGCGGCTCTTTTGTTTTTGTGACTGTGTGGAACCCAATAAATCATCATACTCATCACCATAATTTTATTGTTTATACCCTGCCCATCTGGGCAGCTTCCAGCAAAATATAAAAAATAATAAAATGCCTGACATTAAAAACTTCCCTAAACAGGGCTGCCTTCAGATGTTTTCTAAACGTTGTGTAATTCTTTACAGTGGCGGAGTTTCATGCTCCGGCACCGGGGGGCGGAGAGCAGATGGGGTCAGGGCTGGCGTGCGTTCTGGGGGTGTGGCACCACGCCGCCCACAGGGGCATGGTGTGTGTCCTGGGGGCGTGGCATGCCGCCTGCAGGGGCGTGGCGCCCAGTGCAGGCAGGGGAACAACCGCTATGGCATCCCACCAGGATCGCGCTGCTGGGGGCAGTGCGCTTCCCCCACATTCCTCTTCCTCCGCCAGTGATTCTTTATCTCCCTGACATCTGATGGAAGGGCACCACTGCCGAGAAGACCCTTTGCCTGGTGTGTGTATATAGCATTTTTGGATTGCTCTTTGGGACGTGACTGTAGACTATCCTTGCCGACGTGTCTGTGGAGGTCGTCACCATGAACTCTTGCACTTTAAAATTGACCGCTGCACCGCCTTGTTTCCAATGAACTGTATAATATTATAGGATAATTGGCAGCTGATGTCATCTACTCTCAAGGCTAAATTACCAATCTACTTCATTTTTAAGTTGTACGCAAGCAATTGTCCAGGCCTTTGTTCCCTGGGGCCGGGGTCACTGTGAGTGAGTCCACAGTGATTCCTGAAATGGCCCATGTTTTGTTCCTCTTTGCAGCTTATTACTCTGGGAGCTTCCCCATGACTAACAGAAGCAGAATAAGTTCTGCAAACTTATTCCCAGATGACTTCATGAGACAGCATTTTAAGCTCAGTCCTCAGGGGGGCAGGGCAGATTTTTTAAAACAACAACAACATTTAGAGAGCCACCCAGTTTCTTGTCGGTTTCTCATGGCCCCGCGTGGTTTTTATTTCTATGGAAGTGTTGGCTGCTATGCATGTGTGGGTTCAGATTTGTTGGAATCCACAGGGAGAAGTTAGGCAGAAAGTGTGTAAATTTTGAGGAAGGGAAACTGAAAATCAAGCATGTATGTTGGCGGAAATAAGGCAGAGCTAGGATGCTGGTCCTAATAAGTCCCACAGAGACCATGCCTTACGCCAGGGGTGGAAATTGACGAAGACGAATGTTATAAATAAACTATTCCACTAGCGGTTTAGCCTCCACTGAATTGCAAAAGCAATCTCAGACTTTTTTGGGGGGGGTTGAGCTATCTTTTCAGCATGCTCGCTGCATCCTAGAATGACACTGAGTACACTGGAAATAATGCAAGCATGGAAGAAATAGCGATTGCTACATAAGAGATGAAGATAGTTGCTGCATCTCAAAATGAGGTCCTCTTGGGCTGCAAGTTCTGGAAGGCTTATAGAGCCCTTTGCTTCTTTTATTTACAGTGGTACCTTGGTCTCAAACTTAATCCATTCTGGAAGTCCATTCCAAAACCAAAGCTTTCCAAAACCAAGGCACACTTTCCCATAGAAAGTAATGCAAAATGGATTAATCCGTTCCAGTCTTTTAAAAACAACCCCCAAAACAGCAATTTAACATGAATTTTACTATTTAACGAGACCATTGATCCACAAAATGAAAGCAATAAACAATGTACTGCAGTCACACATTCAATCAATCAGTAGCTGAACTGGGTCAGCAGTGGTTTAGACCACAGCGCCACCCGTGTCCACTGACTATACACAGCATAGTTCATGAAATATAATATAGAGGGTCCATTGTACTGGAGCTTATGACAGAATGCTGAAAAGTAGACTTTACACGTGGCTATCACAAGAAAAGCAGCCTCGCATCTCCTCTACCCCTCTCTTTTGAGGATGTCTAATAAAGCAAAACTACCCAGCCAAAGCAAATCTCTTTCCAGAATGCGGCAGCAATTTAATTCTGCACATCCATTTGTGTACAACGGGCTTTAGATTGGAACAATTGATTTCAAATGGGTACAAGTCGCTACGTCTTTTTGTGGTCTGTTCTTCTGTCAGCGAGCTGCTTCTTTTATAGGAAGGGCTATTCCCATGTATATGCATTCTGCACAGCTGTAATTGCAAGGCTTTTTCCAAATACATTTTGCTGATGAACTTTATCAAGGGAGAACAGCTTGTCACACAGAGAGAAGATGACCTTCTTCTTTGTCCCCTCCATCAGCTTGATTTGACAACTTGCCAGCCACCCAGGCATACTTTGCTGAAAGCTTTTCCTGTTAGATGAGCCCAATTGTCAAACTGCGATGCTAATACTTCACAGGCCTTCCCATTTACAAGAAAAAGGCATTTTGACTGCTGTGACTCATTCCCTTTGGGAAATGCAGCCGGGGGTGGGGTGGGATAAAGGTTGCTGGACATGATCTAGCACCTCAGTGCTCTCTTTGTAACACACAAAATAACGTGCGCCCAGGAATTTTTGTAAAAAAACCACATCGTGCATATTTTGTGGCTTTGGGCTTTATCCTCAGTGCCATTCCATAGTAATTGTCTATCTTTTGCTGTTTTTTCGTTTGGTCCAGATTAGGGACAGAGGAATCAACCTATTGCCATTCCATGTCAACTTCACATGTGCTTATTCAAAAATCTGTTCCATCTTATTTTTATGTTAATTTGTGTTTTTTAAAAAAAAAATCTGTAAGAAATTTCACACTTATATATGTTTTTAAATTTTAACAGAAAATATGTACACACAGGTCTTGCTATCCAAACGCTTGTTGTATGAAAATTCACTTATCCAAACACGAGGAATTAGCACCCAAACCTCGCTACGCACACTGCAGATTCAGATATCCCAACAGCCAGACCTATGCGTAGTACTGTAAACAAATAAACAGCTTTTAATAAGTCCTACTTTGGGGTGTTTTGCTGGGAAGGTGGAGGGAGGGGGAGAGATCACACAATAAGAGAGCATTTTTTCTTTCCCCGTTTGCCTTTTGCAAATTTCAGAGGGTTTTCCTGAGCTTTTTTGTTTTGGTCATTTTGGGGTCCGAATTCCATGACCAGGAATACATTGGAAATGTTCCCATAGGAATCAATGGAAATCATCAACTCGCGATGTGAACACTTGCCAGAAAAATGATTTGCATTGTGTCCGGATAGCAAGACCTGTGTGTATCTCATTTTACATGTTTCTAAATATATGTTTAAGCATTTGGGTGCATTTTTGCACGAGCCAATAGTCGCAAAATTCAGAGAAGTGCACAATCCAAATGATGTTCTGATCTGTGTATTAGTCCAAGATGTGTGCATTTAGTCAGTTGACTTGAAAATGTGGACCAAGCAAAATTCTCCTCCGTCCCTAGCTCAAATTAACAAGGTTATGGGTTTTTGTACAGTCAAACGTCAGAAGTCAAACGGAATTTGTTCCAGAAGTCTGACTTCCAAAACATTTGGAAACCAAAGCGTGGCTTCCAATTGGCTGCAGGAAGCTCCTGCTGTGTTAGCCCTTTGGACACCCGGCTTCCAAAAATAGTTCGCAAACTGGAACATTCACTTTCGGGTTTGCGGTGTTCGGGAGCCAAAACGTTTGAGAGGTAAGCTGTTTGAAAACCAAGGTATGACTGTATTTCAAGTTATTCACATGTTCACTGGGCAAAGAATTGCTCGTGCAAACAGACTGCTCAAATATGAGGGAAAACGGAAGAAAGCCACAAAGTTTATGTGCAACTTGGACTGACGCGGTGCCATGTTATTCAGCTAAACAGGGGCGCTTTGTTTCAATGTGCTGTAGTCAGATCTCTTACCGACAGCCTCTCCATATTCCTCCTCCTCCTCCTCCACTGAAGGTGCAGTCCCATGACATGGCCCGTTGCTGGACAGAAGATACAAGATGGCAGCTAGAAATACATCTGCTCTCATTCTGCTCGCCTCTCCTGAATAAAGCAAAAGAAAACATGACGCCGGAGAACATGATGCATTTGAAACCCAAATTTGGTTTTGAAATACCACATTTTGTTTTAATGGCCTTGGACAAGCCATTGACTCTCAGCTTAGCCAGAGTTATCTCCTAGTACAGTGGTACCTCAGGTTAAGTACTTAATTCGTTCCGGAGGTCCTTTCTTAACTGGAAACTGTTCTTAGCCTGAAGCACTACTTTAGCTAATGGGGGTCTCCTGCTGCCACCGCGCCGCCTGACCACAATTTCTGAAGCATCCTGAAGCAAAGTTCTTAACCCGAGGTACTATTTCTGGGTTAGCGGAGTCTGTAACCTGAAGCGTATGTCACCTGAAGCGTATGTAACCCGAGGTACCACTGTATAGCAATGAGGACAAATCGGGGGTGAGGAACCTGGACCCATCCCCCAGGATAAAGAAAGGCGCAAGAGGATAGCTCTATGTCCCCCAAGGAATGAGTGCCTTCTAAGTTTCATTCTTCCTCAAAATGATACTCTCCTTCCCTGAAACCTGCCTTCTCCCTGACACCAGGAGAGTTATCATCGTGGGAATGGGGCACAGCTATAATGTCCCTGAAGGCCTCATCCATCACTGTCTCTGCCTCCCTTACTTTTTCCATGTCTGCCAACTTAGCCTCAGGGGAACTACAGTGGTACCTCAGGTTAAGTACTTAATTCATTCCGGAGGTTCGTACTTAACCTGAAGCACCACTTTAGCTAATGGGGCCTCCTGCTGCTGCTGCGCCACCGGAGCCCAATTTCTGTTCTTATCCTGAAGCAAAGTTCTTAACCTGAAGCACTATTTCTGGGTTAGCGGAGTCTGTAACCTGAAGCGTATGTAACCTGAAGCGTATGTAACCCGAGGTACCACTGTAACTTGTTCCCAGAGAACCAGGAGCTCGTGGCACCTCCAACACACCCAGGGCTTCTGTCCAACAGGGTGATAGTCGTACATGTGGCCAGAACTTCAGGGCTGTTTCCTTTATCCTCCTGCACCATTCCCAGGAGAAACCCCTGTGAGTAGCGAAGGCCTGAGCCTCTGAAATGATGCCAATGCAAAGTCATCGGAATGGCACTTCCCCTGTGTTTATTTTTATCTTAAAGAGAGGAAGGGGCAAAAACAACGCAGAGGTTATTTCTTGCCCTCCTTTCCAGGTATTGTCACCACACAGTTTGTCGAGATGCCACGGGGAGTGCTGCAAAACGCAAACACATCCGGTCCGTTGTGCTCGTGCTCATGCGACAAAGATTTAAATTTAAATCTCAAGTGAGGCATGTGTCCTGAGCAACTGCCCTCTCATTCATCCTGAAGTCACGGTTGAAGTGAGTGTAGCTGCCTGCCATCCAGTTTCTTAAACTAGGGCACGTGTTGACATTGCCAAGAGCTCACACTTCCTTGGCAGGCCTTCCCTCGTTGTTCAGTAAAGGACTCAAACAGCTTCCAGCCAAGAAGGAAAGCATCTATTTCACTCTTTGAATCGAGCCCAAGGCACACACACACAAAAACCCAACCCCAGACAGCGAGCCCATTCACTTCAAACAGCAGCCCTGTTCTTGACTTCCAGGAGAAGGGCTATAGATTTGGCTACTTTGGAGATGGCTGGATCAAAGTGTGGATTGGCTGGCCCTAATAATGAGGAGAGCGAGGCCTCAGGCAGAAGGCATGAGGTGTTGGAGGGCAGAACTGTGTGTGACTTCCAGCCTGTCCTGTGTCCTCAGGTGGAATGGAGGACCTCCCCCATCACCAGCATTGAACTTGTGGGGTATTTACAATGCAGTCAAACCAACAACGCACGTTTGCTAGATAGGCACATGATAGGAGTTGAAGCTCACAGAGTTTTCCTGTAAGTTTGCTAGAGAGAACTCTGATACCCACTCCTCCTGAAATGGGAGGTCATAGCCCTATATAATAAAATGGTTCCTGAAATGACTGGATTTTCACTTTGGGGAACCCTAATATATAATCTCCTCCTGCCTGGGCTCTTCCTTTTCCCTTTTTGCTCTTTCATCTCATTCCAGCAATGTAGAACATATGCTAAGTCTGAGCCACAGCTCAGACTTCATTTTAAACTAGACAACTATGTCTTTGTAACTGGATTATTATGTTAAGCCTGCCTGAACAAAGCTGCTGTATCCGTTACTCTCCAACAAGTATTCTGAGAGAGTAAATGCTATTTTTGCTTTTTACAAGATGGTTTGTCTCAGGATTGGACTAGATGATCCTCAGGATCCCTTCCAACTCTATGATTCTATGCCTCTATTATTATGGTTTTAAGAGTGCTGAAACAGTAAAGTTGCCTTCACTTTTGTGCTCTAACTTTCTTCAGAAATGTCCGCTTAACTTACCTTTTTTTATTTTAAGGAAGAATCTGGGGCCCCTGTTGACATGGGCCCTGGCACATGCATGCCCCCAGTACCTCCTTGTGGGAGGCCATGAACATAGATATACAATGAATGTCCTAGATCGGTGGCATGGTTAACATGTGGTTCCCCAGATAGTTGAGCACCAACTCGCATCAGCCTGAGCCAACATGGCCAATGGTTGATGGGAGAGGAAGTCTGACAGTAAGTCCAACACTAGGCTGCCTTCCTGCAAACCTATGTCTTTTATTGCATACTTTCATTTGCTCACAATTTCTCCAAAGAGGTTTTAGTCATAAAGTAAATGACTTGATCATAAAGTAAATGACTTGATCAAATATCTAGACCACATTGCTACAGTTGAAGCATTTGACACCAATCATACTGAGCTCCTAGAATGTAAGATTATCTTCTATTATTCTATAGTTTCAGGATCTCACTAAGTCAGCTCTGGTTTCAAAAGAAATATTCTGGGAGCAAGTATTCCTAAGTATCTAATTAGGAGCAGAATTAAACTCTCCACTAATGGAACACTGTACTGCCTTAATGTTAACGACTCTTTAATATTAGAAATGCATATGTTAAACCCAAACTGCTCCCTAGGAGATTTCGGATAATAACCAGCAGAATAATTGAAGAGAGCATTACTCGTACAGCTTAAGAAACAGAAACGTATAATGAAATAACATTTGCAAGCAGCAACAATTTTTTAAAAAAGTGAATGACTTGTGTAATATTAATGGAATAGATCCAACACTAATTACAAGGAACAGGATTTCACAAAGAAATTGCCCAATATTTTTGTTCCCTTGAAAAGCAGGCCTTGAAGGGAGGAGAGTGGGAGAAGGAAGTGTTTCCACTGAAATTACTGTCTATAACTCCTCACATTACACAAGCTGGTACAGAACTTCCGTTTCCCCCTCCTTCTGTATCTCAGATTCCTAAACTGTTACATCACAGGGGCAGAGAGATGAGGATGCCAGAGACACATTGCTCTCACTCTTCCTCTTCCCTTATGCAATACAGGACTGCTCGGGCTACAATCTGCGTTCAATACATCACAAAACTTGGGTTTAAAGTAGCTCCGAATTTGGTAGAGCCAAAGGTGGAGAACATTTTTTTCAGGCTCTCGTGGACAACCTTCATTTGGTGGGTGGGCTCAGAGGGGAAAGTAGAAGGAGCAATGGATATGAATGTTACCTTTGAAGACTGAAGTACATCCCAGCCACACAAAAGTGAGAAGTTTCCAGACACAGAGACCCAACCCCAGACCTCTCCTGTAAAACTGGCTAAAATTTATAAACTAACATCGAATTTGTGTTGGAGATGTAAGGTATCAGAGGGATTCTTATATCATGTTTGGTGGGGATGTGATAAAATTATTAATTTTTTTTTGTAAATATACATGAAGGACTGAAAAAAAATGTTTAAAACAACAATTGGTGAGAAGCCGGAAGCATTCCTTTTAGGATTTATAACAAATGACATCCTGAAAGACATGAAGAGAATCTTTTTATATGCAGCAGCTGCCGCAATCTTATTGATTGCAAAAAATTGGAAATCAGAAGAAGTACCAACGTTGAAAGACTGGCAACATAATTTTTTTGAAATGATTGAATTAGCAGAAATGACAACAACAATTGGAATGCAATCTAATCAAAATCTCAAACAGGAATGGAAATGTGTAGAAGAATACAGTGGTACCTCGGGTTACATATACTTCAGATTACATACGCTTCAGGTTACAGACTCCGCTAACCCAGAAATATTACCTTGGGTTAAGAACTTTGCTTCAGGATGAGAACAGAAATCGTGCAGCTGTGGCACAGCGGCAGCAGGAGGCCCCATTAGCTAAAGTGGTGCTTCAGGTTAAGAACAGTTTCAGGTTAAGAACGAACGTCCAGAACGAATTAAGTACGTAACCAGAGGTAACACTGTATAAGATAATCAACAGATAAAGTAAAGGTAAAGGGACCCCTGACCATTAGGTCCAGTCGTGACCGACTCTGGGGTTGCAGTGCTCATCTCGCTTTATTGGCCGAGGGAGCCGGCATACAGCTTCCAGGTCATGTGGCCAGCATGACTAAGCCGCTTCTGGTGAACCAGAGCAGCGCACAGAAACGCCGTTTACCTTCCCGCTGGAGCAGTATCTATTTATCTACTTGCACTTTGATGTGCTTTCGAACTGCAAGGTTGGCAGGAGCAGGGACCAAGCAACAGGAGCTCACCCCGTCACGGGGATTCGAACCGCCGACCTTCTGATCGGCAAGTCCTAGGCTCTGTGGTTTAACCCACAGCGCCACCCGCGTCCCAACAGATAAAGTACAGAGAGACTAATTGGAAGTCATTTTTAATTTCTTGTTTTACAATCGTTCACATCATTGGGAGTACAAAGGATGTTAGTTATACGAATTGTGTTGTTTCATATATTGCTACGGTCTGTTTGTCGATTTATAGTTGGTTTATTTGATTGTATGTTTGCCTGTTGGTTGGTTTGCCTTCGGGGCACGAATGGATCTATTTTAAAACAATAAAGATATACACAATGGAAAGGGCTCAAGGGGTGCGCTGAGGGGGGCAAGGGAGTGAGGGAGCCATGGGGGTGGTGAGGGGGCAGATCCGGCACATTTATTTCTAGAAATGCCCCCCCCCAGCTGGATTTGATACTGTCAAATGTCCAAAAAGTAAAAAGGAATCGAACTGTCTGTCTTGAGGCAGAATAGTTGTCATTTGTGAAGCAGCTGCAGTCTCTTTCTGGAATATTTAGTGTGTTGACTGATCCGTCATAAACTTTAATCCCAAACACCTCTTCCCAGAAGCATACCCTCTTGCAATTTGCAAACAAACATGCTTAGTAATAGAGCGTTGAGATGTTCTCATGTCCCCTTTAAAAAACATGGCTGCCAGGAACTGCCAGACAGTCTGAGTAGGTAATATTGAGCGAGATGGCCTGATGGCTTGACTCAGTATAAAGCAGCTCCCTATAGTATTTCACTATAATTGCTGCTTACCTAGGTAAATTCTAGGTTGGCCAAATGTCAATCCCAGCTATCATTCATTCCCATTTGGGGTGATATGCTGAGGAAATGTTGCCATACGTTGGAAATGTAAAGAAAAAGAAGGTACCTTTTATCATATGTGGTGGACGTATAAAGTACAGTGATACCTCGGGTTACATATGCTTCAGGTTACATACGCGTCAGGTTACACACTCCGCTAACCCAGAAATAGTGCTTCAGGTTAAGAACTTTGCTTCAGGATAAGAACAGAAATTGGGGGGTGGCAGCAGGAGGCCCCATTAACTAAAGTGGTGCTTCAGGTTAAGAACAGTTTCAGGTTAAGAACGGACCTCTGGAACGAATTAAGTTCTTAACCCGAGGTACCACTGTAGTTAAAAAATTCTGGGAGATGATATATAATGAAATGAAAAAAATGTTTAAAATAACTTTTGTTTAAAAACCAGCCGCATCACCCACCCACCCTCCCTTGGTTCATTGCTTGGTTCTTGACATTGCTATGGGCCTGTGGTTGGTCACCTTGGTTGGCCAAGGGGCCTGGTAGGAATTTTATCCAACTGGCAAATTGGCACCGGCCACTTGGTTTTTCACCTACCTCGTAGCAAATCGTCACAACTTTTGGGTATTGGCGGTTAGGCATTGGAATATGGTCGTGTGTTGGAGGGCAGGGTGTGGCCATCGCCTACCCCTCCATTTTATGGATATTTCGGTAAAGGAATCCGGCGGTTGTGGATCCTGTCCGACGCCCTTGCTGGTGTCTAGGGCCATGGCACGACCCCCGGTGACATCAGGGGGAGCTTTCAGTTGTATTTGCATTAACAGGCTCCTCCCACTGGTGGTTAAACCTTGATAGTATCACCCCTCTCTGAGGGGTGGAGTCACGCTTTGTTGTTTTATCCAATGCCTAAGCCAATACCTCTCACATGCTGTAATCAATAAAGTTGTGGCCTTTTTTATCCCATTAACCTAATATACTGTGTCCATGTGTCTTTCTTATCCTCAAGTGGGTGGTGGGTCCTTGAATCACAACCAGAAGCTTTCTTATTGGGAATTACAGGTACTGAGATCCCAAAGGACCAGGAAAGACTGTTTATGTAGGCGACAACAGCAGCACGGATTCTATTAGCCCAAAGATGGAAGGAAGAATCAACTCCGACCAGAGAAGAATGGCAAACCCAGATGATGGACTACGCCGAAATGGTAAAACTAACTGGGAAGCTCAGAAATCAAGAAGGAAAGAACTTTAAAAACAAATGGGAAAGGTTTATAATTTATTTACGAGACCACTGCAAGCAGGTCAAAACATTGGCAGGATTTTAACCACACTTGTAAAGTAATGGAAACTGTAGATAATTGTGAAGGATAAAAATTCGGATAAATATTGATATGCAGTTGTAAATATTATCATTACGACCCATGGAAGTGATGGGGGGGGGGAGTCAGGAGAGTCAGAGTAATCTCAACATCTGGATGTGGAATTGTTATTTGTTGTTATATAAAAAAGGAAATGTTGCCATATGGGATTCAGCTGCTGGAAACTTTGCAAAAACAAAACAAAACAAAAAACTTAACAAATTTTGTGTTCGGAGTGGCACTCTTATAGCATCTCTGCTTGTAGAAAAGGAGCGTTTTCTTTAAAAAAGAAGACATAACAGCACCTAGATATCTCCTTGGCTACATGCAATGGGAGCGTTCCTCTGGTGTGCTGCACTTTTTCCTTTCAGACAACTTTGTTTGGGTCTGATTTCCATAGTAATTAGACTTTTAACGCCTATTCTTAACCCCCTCTTTAGCTTTTTGTGGGCATCCTATTGGGCAGAATGGCAAGCAAAAGAGAAGGCAGCCTGTGGATTATGAGCCAACCACAGACAGCCTTAGCAAATGTCACAGGGTGATACTGACTCTCGCTCTCCCAAACCCTCTCCGCTCCATTTCCTGCGCTGTCACTTTGAGTGAGTCACTTCTGCGGCTGCAGCACAAAGGATACGGGGAAAGGGCAAACAGAAAGGAGATAATGGGTGAAATTGCACATGCAAAGGTTGAAGCTACTGCAAACACAGCTTACTTTAAAGGTTTTTTAGAGAGCCTTGCTAGACCTGTTCTGCCTTCACACCTCTTTTGAAAAAAGCAATAAAAACATAGCTTGGGTAGTCATTGTGTATCATCCTAAAAAATGTCATTACTGTGCTTTTGCAAAGTTTACGTAGGAGCACCTGTGTCCACAATCACAAGAAAAGCTAAGCCCGGCTGAAACAACCTAAGTATGATTAATGAATGCATATTTGGAATGGGGAGGGGGCTGGTTTGTACCTATAGGCCCTGTGCATGAACATCCCTCCAATCCTCTAATATAAACTACCTACATTGGCCTTACCTTCATATAAGCAGCTTTGACTCTTTGGGGACTCAATTATTTTATTTATTTATTTATTTATTATGCCCCACCCAACTGGCTGGGTTTCCCCAGCCACTCTGGGCGGCTCCCAACAGAATATTAAAAACACGATAAAGCATCAAACATTAAAAACTTCCCTAAACAGGGCTGCCTTCAGAAGTTTTCTAACAGCCAGATTGTTGTTTATTTCCTTGACATCTGACAGGAGAGCATTCCACAGGGCAGGCGCCACTACTGAGAAGGCCCTCTACCTGGTTCCCTGTAACCTCATTTCTCGCAGTGAGGGAACTGCCAGAAGGCCCTCGGTGCTGGATCTCAGTGTCCGGGCTGAACGATGGGGGTGGAGACGCTCCTTCCGGTATAATGGGCTGAGGCCATTTAGGGCTTTAAAGGTCAGCACCAACACTTTGAATTGTGCTTGGAAACGTACTGGGAGCCAATGTAGGTCTTTCAGGACCGGTGTTATGTGGTCTCGACGGCCACTCCCAGTCACCAGTCTAGCCGCCACATTCTGAACTAGTTGAAGAGGAGAGGAGGCAACTTTGGCTGATTCCGTCTCCTCCTGTAGCTCCAGGACTCTCCTCCAAAAACAAAAATACCACCTCCAGAAAGTGGGGGAATACTTCAGAACAAGGTAGAATGTGGCATGGAAGTAGGTCGATGCAGGGAGACTCCTATTTGATCCTATCCATGCCTTAAGATATTTCGAGAAAGTTCTCCACAGCGTACTGCTGTTGAATAGGGCTGCCATACTGTCAGATTTTCCTGGGATTTCAAAGGCGGAATTGACATCCTTGGGGAATTTCTGAAAGGTGGCACTTTGGGGGTTTCCTGAAAAAAAAAAGCTCAACAACAACGGGATGTCCTGGTTTTTACTTTTTGAAATACGGCAACCCTACTGTTGAGGAAGTGTATTATGTGGTTGCCCAAGACATAGTTGCCTCTGTAATGGCAATCCATATGTGGAATGCCCTCCTCTTCAAAGCGCACTCGCCCTCCTGCAATTGACTTAAGTGAAGACTTTCTCATTTTTTCCCATGGATTTTGAGGGGTTTATTAGTCAGTTTACCAAAGGTGTCATGCCGAGGGAGTCTTCGTTTGACCTCAGACAGCTTTCCGGGTCATGTGGCCAGCATGACTAAACAGCTTCTGGCACCGTGGCGGAAACCAGAGCGCACGGAAACGCTGTTTGCCTTCCTGCCACAGCGGTACCTATTGATCTACTTGCACTGGCGTGCTTTCGAACTGCTAGGTTGGCAGGAGCTGGGACAGAGCAACAGGAGCTCACCCCATCACGGGGATTCGAACCACCGACCTTCTGATCGGCAAGCCCAAGAGGCATAGCTGTCAACTTACAGATTTGAAATTAAGGGACCAGCAGCCTCGAAAATAAGGGATCAGCAGCCAAAATAAGGAATTTTGCTTAGCTTATGAGTTCCATCGGCCCTTCCCCACCCGAGAGGGAGGGAGAGAGACTCTTGCCCACGCCGACTGCGAGCCCAGCATGAGGCGGTTGCGGCGCTGCGGCAGCCACTAAAGCGCCGCCCTTCTGCATCCCTCCCCATCCCCTCCTCTTCCTCCTCCCTCAGGCTGCCCCCTCAGCCACTGCCGCCACTGCCGCCTCCGGCTTCCCCTGGCAGCGCGGGGGAAGCCTCGCAAGAGAGGGGCTGCCTTCCTGCCCGCCTCCACCCGTCTTTCACAACGTGCCCCTGAGGGGGAAAAGGGAGAGACGGAGACGTGGCAGCTCGTGCGTGCTTGCTCTCTCGCTGTCTCAAGGTGGAGAACCCCGAGCCGCTGCTTCCCTCCCGAGCCGGGCGAGCATGAAACCCGGGAAATTTAAGGGACATCATCAATCCGGGAAAGCAGCGGAACACGGTGCTGGGATAAGGGAGTTTCCTGCCAAATAAGGGACGGTTGACAGCTATGCCAAGAGGCTTGGTGGTTTATACCACAGCATCCTACTCTACAACTGAGTACAATACGCTTGACAAAAGATGGGGCTGAAGGTGCGTGAACTGATTTGAGCAAACAGCGATCATGTTTGATGTGGTTTAAAGGGACTGTTAATCTGTGGGGCTTTTCTGTGATGACTCAGACACGTCTCCCTTCATCTTGAGGTCTGAAACAGTCCTGAGCGAGTAACCAAGGGGAGAATAAGGCCTTTGTTTTGAAACAGACCGCGTTGTTCATCCCTGGTTAAATATTATACTGAACTTAGATTGACTTTAAAAGTTTAGCAGCATCCTGGAAGGGGGGGGGGATTTCCGCTTCTACTTAGAATTAATATCTGAATTCTGAAAACAAGTGTTGGCGCATTTCTTTGCTCTCCAGAGATTAATTTTTAAACAAACAAGGCCAGTCTAAAGGAGTTAGGGAAAACACATACAGATGGTGTAATAATAAATACTTGGCAGGAGGATACTGCTGGCAATTACATCAGGGAACATTGTTCCAATTTAACAGAGAAAACCCTGGAGCTGGAAGTGGCTTTAGATATTGCTGCCCTAAAGCTCCATATACTCTCTAGAAATGCCCATATGAAGCTGTCTTATACCGATTTAGTCCACTTGTCCATCTAGTTCAATATTGCCAACACTGACTGGCAGTGGCACTCCAGTGTGGTTTAAGCTATCGAATTTCTTCCTCACAGAAGTGAATCCAGCACCCTCCTTGTATAGTTTTCCTCAAATGCAGAAGATATATATATATATATCCTACCCTACTCTTCCGATGGAAAGTTGTTCTAACTGATTCAGACCCTCCAAGTGTCCCTATTTTCCAGGGACAGTCCCAGATTTGCAAAAACCATCCCAGTTTCTGATCTGAACTCAGAATGTCCCACTTTTACTTAGGACGCCCTAATTTGTTGGAGGGTATCGAGTTATTTGACATACACACACACACCGAAGCCAAGGAGATAAGTAACTTTAGAAGACAGCCCTGTACAAGGAAGTTTTTTTTAAGTCTTATTATGTTTTCGTATATGTTGGAAGCTACCCAGAGTGGCTGGGGCAAACCAGTCAGATGTGCAGGGTATAAATAAGAAAATCATTAATCTTATTATTATTATGGAATAGGACGTCCCTATTTTAATCAGAGAGATGTTGGAGGGTATGCTGAATTTAATATTTTATTATTATATGGTTTATTGTTGTGAAAAAAGGGTAAAGGACCCCTGGATGGTTAAGTCCAGTCAAAGGCGACTATGGGGTTGCAGTGCTCATCTTGCTTCAGGTCGAGTGAGCTGGCGTTTCTCTGCAGACAGCTTTCTGGGTCATGTGGCTAGCATGACTAAACCGCTTTTGGCACAACCAAACACTGTGACAGAAACCAGAGCGCACGGAAATGCTGTTTACCTTCTCGCTGCAGCGGTACTGATTTATCTACTTGCACTGGCGTGTTTTCGAACTGCTAGGTTGGCAGGAGCAGGGACAGAGCAACGGGAGCTCACCCCGTTGCAGGGATTCGAACCACCGACCTTCTGATCGGCAAGCCCAAGAGGCTCAGTGGTTTAGACCACAACACCACCCATGTCCCTCACCCTGGGACCTTATGGTGAAAGGCAGGTAAAAACAACAATCCATAAATTACCATAGTCACCATCACCTTTGTAGTACAGGATCTAGCCACAAGGAATATGTGGCAATCACATTATGGATAAGCTGGAGGTTGATATGAAGGTATACAAAGATTCTGGGAAAAAGAGAGAGTTGTTTTGGGCTATGAAGGCTGCTACAGTCAGCCTTATGTCCCGAAGACCCAGAGATTACCTACTTGAACTTTGAATGCAACTGCCAGAAGGGTCATGGCATCTAGGACCAGCTACGAAACCAGTCACTCAAACTACATTCTCAGCCTGGCAGGACTGGGAAGTACCCAAGTTACCTTCTCCTTTCTGTCCCATGGTTTCCCCTTTTCAGAGCTTTTGGATCACAATTAAGCTGTGCGTTTCAAGGGTTTGTAAGCAAGCCAAACCTTATCCGGATTCGAGTCCCTGATTCTAAAAAACAGAACTGGTTTGCAAGGGATATGGGAGAGCCTCTGTCTCCCATTGCGTACGCACGTTAAAACGAACGTCTCGCATATTCGTAGCTGGGGAAAATAGTTGGGGAAAGAGCTCCTATCTTCACCTTTTTGCTCTGTTTTAGGTTTATGACCAATTTCCAGAGCACTGAATCATATTGTGTGACTGCTCCTTATGGCTTATTTCCTTTTCGTAATCCCTGGTCCGTCATGTTTATTGGCATCGTTATTGTCATGCATTACTGTCATGCAATGAATTATTTCCGGTACAGAGTGAGGCCAGCCATTTGTCATTTAGATTTAGGCACGTCTTCGTATTAATCCAGACTAACCAAAAGACCAGCTCGCTATTCTATTCCTGCTTTCTGAAGGAGACATAGGAATCTGTGCCGTCTGGGAGGTGCTACCTTCCCAGTACACATCTAGCCGACATCATTTCTATTGTCCTTCCAGATCATATTGAACACCTTCATTTTCATTGCAGTGAAAACCCGGAGAGCTGCTGCCACTCAGGGTCATATCTGACCTGCTGGGAGCCTGCTGGGCCTTGCCCTGCTTCTCTCCACACTGCTTGGGGCAGGGCCTGACAGGCTCCATAAAGGAGCGCTGCTGCTGTTGCTGCTACTGGGCAATTTTTTAAAAATTGCTTTTATTTTTTATCTATGTCATTTTAAATTGTGATTGATGCTGTGTTCTTAGTTTTAGACTTTCCCGCCCCGACCTGGCCACAGTGATCCATGTGACGGTCACCTCCAGGCTTGACTACTGTAATTCGCTCTACGCGGGGCTGCCCTTAGAGCTGTCCCAGAAACTCCAGCGGGTGCAGAATGCAGCAGTGAGGCTCTTTACAGGGTTTCTGCCATGGGAGCACATTCAGCCAGTGCTTTTCCAGCTGCACTGGCTCCTGGTGGAGTACAGGGTCAGATTTAAGGTGCTGCTTTTGACCTTTAAAGCCCTTCACGGCCTAGGACCCTCGTACCTACGGGACCGCCTCTCCCGGTATGCCCCACGGAGAGCCTCAAGGTCCATAAATAGCAACACCCTAGTGGTCCCGGGCCCTAAGGAAGTTAGACTGGCTTCAACCAGAGCCAGGGGCTTTTCAACTCTGGCTCCGGCCTGGTGGAATGCTCTGCCTCATGAGACCAGGGCCCTGCAGGATCTGATTTCTTTCTGCAGGGCCTGTAAGACAGAGTTGTTCCACCTGGCCTTTGGCTTGGAGCCAATTTGATTCCCTCCCCCTCTTTTTTTTTCCCTTTCTCCTCCTGTGATGAGGCTGCATTTTAATATTTTAATGTTTCAGTATTCTAATGTATTTTAATATTGTTTTTAAGTTGTATTCATTCAACTTGTTTTTATTATTGCTTGTTAGTCGCCCTGAGCCCGGCCTTGGCTGGGGAGGGCAGGGTATAAATAAAAATTATTATTATTATTATTATTATTATTATTATTAATGTGGAAATTGTTTTCCATTTGGTTCTGTACTTTTTGATGTGTTTTATTTACAGTCATACCTCTTGTTATGTTTGGTTCAGGTTACGTCTTTTCAGGTTGCGTCCCACGGCGACCTGGAAGTACCGGAAAGGGTTACTTCCGGGTTTCACTGTTCGCGCATGCGCATATGCGCAAAATGATGTCACATGCATGCACAGAAGTGGCGAGTCGTGACCAGCGCATGCGCAGACGCGGGTTGCATTCCTTTCAGGTTGCGAACGGGCCTCCGGAAAACAGATCCCGTTTGCAACCAGAGGTACCACTGTATTGTTTATGACTTTTGTTATGTCGGTAATTATGTAAATCTTGCCATGTTGTAAGCCGCCTTGAGCATTGTTTTAACTATGGAAAGGCAGCATACAAATAAAATGATGAATGAATGAATATCTACCTGGTTGGCCAGCTTGGGGCGCAGGCCCATGGGGGGCACAAAAATCGCATCTCTCCACTCTAGCTTGAAGTGGCTAGGAGCCTGCACAATCCCTGGGCCGCTCTGAAGCTGCTCTGTGTGGCTGGGCAAGGTGCAAAGGCTCCATTGGGTGCAGAAATCTGGTCACTGGTTGGGAGAAGTTATGGAACTGGGATTTCAATTTCACGGCATGTTATAGGTTGAAAGAAAATTATATGAAAATCATGTACCGATGGTACTTAATTCCTAGTAAATTAACAAAAATGTATAAAACATGCTCAAATATATGCTGGAATTGTAAGGAAAAAGAAGGCACCTTTGATCATACGTGGTGGAATTGTAAGGTAGTAAAAGGATTTTGGGAAATGATATATAATGAATTGGGGGGGGGATGCTTAAAATAACCTTTGCTAAGAAACCTGAAGCCTTCTTTTTAGGAATTTTAGGTGCCGAAATCCCAAGGAAGCAGAAAAGACTATTTATGTCTGCGACCACGGCTGCCCAGATGTTATTGGCCCTACCAGAGAAGAATGGCAGATCAAGTTGATGGACTATGCCGAAATGGCTAAAATGACCGGAAGAATCAGAAATCAGGAAGACCAAAATTTTAATGAGGAATGGGGGGAAATTGTAACTTTTCTTAAAGACCATTGTAAACAGTTAAAAATCGTTAGTAGGATTGGAATATCACTTGTAGTTTAAGGTTGATTCTGCACATAATGGAAGAGGTAAAGGGTTATCATAAAAAGATGCGGGAGGAAATGATTGAATTAGGACTCACAAAGGGGAGGATGGAAGTCCAGGAGATTCCTTGGAATCTTGTTTTAACGATTTATGTTTGATATATATCTGTAAAATTTCAATGTGAAAAACCAAATAAATAAATTTATATATATATATAAAGAAATCCGGTCACTGGAGGAGGCCGTCAGATAGCCCACCACAGCCTCTCCCCAGCAAAAGCAAACTTTTAGAATTTCTGGTTTATAGTCTCTCCCAGCTTTGGAGGCACCAATGCACCTCCTTGCCAAGGGTGCAAGGGAACCTAGGTACACATCTGCCCTGTAGGCAGCATCCAGCTAGTTGGACCAACAGTCTGACTCAAACTAAGGCAGCTTCCTTTGTTCCAAAATTTAGAGATGGGAAATCTGATTACAGACCTGCACCGTCTCGTCTAGGTTTGCCCTAAGATAACACTGAGAAGAACATGTCACATGGTTATATTTTTATGCTGAGCTACACAAAGTCACCCTGGGTTTGCTATTTCTCTGCATGCGCATTTTAGTGTGATGTATTTAGTTGCATGAAAGTTCTCAATATGCGCAACTTGCAGATTGAACATATAGAATAAGAGAACAAGAAGAATGTGTGTTTAAAGAAGACTGGAAAATATTTACTGAATATACGGGTGAAAATTGTGTACATTTAAAAACGCTGGTAACATTAAGATAAATTCAGCAGTGTGAATAAGTTTTGATGGATGTAACAATGGAATACTGAATGGTTTAGTTCATGTAAAATATGCAGGGATGTATGGTATGCCACGGACCATAAAGAAGGCTGATCACCAAAGAATTGATGCTTTTGAATTATGGTGCTGGAGGAGACTCTTGAGAGTCCCATGGACTGCAAGAAGATCAAACCTATCCATTCTGAAGGAAATCAGCCCTGAGTGCTCACTGGAAGGACAGATCCTGAAGCTGAGGCTCTAATACTTTGGCCACCTCCTGAGAAGAGAAGACTCCCTGGAAAAGACCCTGATGTTGGGAAAGATGAAGGGCACAAGAAGAAGGGGACGGCAGAGGACGAGATGGTTGGACAGTGTTCTTGAAGCTACCAGCATGAGTTTGACCAAACTGCGGGAGGCAGTGGAAGACAGGAGTGCCTGGCGTGCTCTGGTCCATGGGGTCATGAAGAGCTGAATGATTAAACAACAACATGGTATGCAAAATGAACCACAGAAAGAGAAGAAGGGAAGTCATTGATTTAAGGTTGTCTAAATGAATATTTTGAAATGTAAAACAGAAATATTTACACACACACACACACACACACACAGAGTGCTTTTTTCCTTAAAAAAATGTTTAGGGGTACTCTCATTTTGACTCAAGAAAATCACCATTGTATAGTTCAAATCAGGAAAAATAAATACAGTAAATGGACAAAAGTACAAAGATTCACAAAATGTTTACGGGTATGTGTACCCCTGCATACCCCCAGAAAAAAAGCTGTGTGTGTGTGTATGTGTGTGTGTCTCTGTGTGTGTGTGTATGAGAGAGAGAAAGTTCTCTGGCATGTCCGATTGAAACATAATGAAGGGTGAATCACAATCTAATTTAGAAGATTTCCCAGGGCAAGGTGTTTTCAGATTTAACCTTTGCCTGCATTTGCGAGAGTGGTTCTGTACATTAAATTCCCTCCAGAAAAATAAGCCAGTTCAAGGCCACTTTGTGGCTTTCCGATAATGAAGGGGGAGGGAATGCATCTTGTTTCCTGAGTTGCAGCATTCAGAGATCAGGCACCGTCTGTTTCTTTACTAACTAAACTTACAGCATTATAAGAAAAACGTTGGTTGTACAAACTAAATAGACATTGATAGATGACTATACTAACAGTACAATCGTGTATGTGCACGTCTGCTCAGAAGAAAACTTCCCAGAGTTCAATGTGATTTACTCCCAAGTAAGCACATATAGGCTTACAGGCTAAAATGCACTAAATGCCTCCCCAGCTAAGGCTACAAACCTATGGAAAGTTTACCTGGGAGTAACAGTGGGACTTACATCTCCGTCAACCTACGTAGGCATATATTGGGCATGTCAAGCAATTCTCATTGCTCTCTAAATCAGGGATGTGGACCGTGTGGCTATTCAGGCATTGTGGGACTACAGATGCCATCATCCCTGATCTCTGACTAAGTTGGCTGGGACTGATGGGACAAGTACATCTGCAGAGCCAGAGGTTCCCATTCTTGCTCTAAAACAGTGTTTCCCAAGCTTGGGTCTCCAGCTGTTGTTGGACTACAATTCCCATCAACCCTGACCATTGGTCTTGCTAGCAAGGGGGGATGATGGGAGTTGTAGTCCAAAAACAGCTGGAGAGTGGGAGTTTGGGAAACACTACTCTAAAGGTTTGCCTTTATAAAGTTGTCCATAAAAGGTATTATAATACTTGGCTGCTCCCTCTCTTGAAGCCCAGCCAAGTCCTTTCTGGTACATATTGCTTTAAAGTACAAGTAGTCAATGTGCTGAAGTTTAACTACAACGTCCATCAGCTCCAGCCAGAATGGTCAGGGAAATTTGGAGGCGCAGTCCAGCATCATTTAGAGCAGGGTTTCCCAGACTTGGGCCTCCAGCTGCTTTTGGACTACAGTTCCCATCATCCCTGACCACTGGTCCTGCTAGCTTGGGATGGCAGGAGGTGTAGTCCAAAAAACAGCTAAGTTTGGGAAACACTTATCTAGAGGACCCCACATTGGCTGCCCCTGCTTTAAAGTGTGCAAGTAGTTGCAGAGTAACTCCCCTGATGAATTATGTTTAAACTGCTTTTCCTAGGGATCATAATAGCGTTGGGTTTTTATTAAGGCTGGAATCCGATGAACACTTACATGAATCAGAAAGCCTTGTTTCCAAGTAGAATATGCTTTGGATTGTGCTGAGCCAAGGAAATGAGGAGCCCAAGTATAAATCATGGAAAAATTTATTTTCCTCAAGCGCTAAGTCTGTCTTTTTGTTGCGGTGTACATGCACGACAGGACGCGGGTGGCGCTGTGGGTTAAACCACAGAGCCTAGGACTTGCCGGTCAGAAGGTCGGCGGTTCAAATCCCCGTGACGGGGTGAGCTCCCGTTGCTCGGTCCCAGCTCCTGCCAACCTAGCAGTTCGAAAGCACCTCAAAGTGCAAGTAGATAAATAGGTACTGCTCAGGCGGGAAGGTAAACGGTGTTTCCGTGCGCTGCTCTGGTTCGCCAGAAGCGGCTTAGTCATGCTGGCCGCGTGACCCGGAAGCTGTCTGCGGACAAACGCTGGCTCCCTCGGCCAGTAAAGCGAGATGAGTGCCGCAACCCCAGAGTCGGCCACGACTACACCTAATGGTCAGGGGTCCCTTTACCCTTTACCTTTTACATGCACGACAAAACTGCAGATGTCTACTTAGAAGTAAGTCCCACTGAGTTCAATGGACATAAGTAAACACAAATAGGCTGTCAGTCTTCAATTTCCATAACCCGATACGTACCTCACAACAACACCCAGCTATGTGAAACCCACCTGGGAGGGTGGCGGTCTTTATCTAGCAAAATAAACAGCTTCCAATAGACAGAATCTCACCAGCTACTCACCAAGCAGCTCACAATGCCAAACGCTTCCTCAGAGGGAGAACTCCTGAGTGAGTTTTGCAGCCTGCTCCTTCCCCTTCCCGCTTCAGAAGGTAAGGCCTTGGGGGCAGAGGGGAAGCAAAGAGAGAAAGAAAGAGAAAGAGAGAGACAAGGGGAGAAATGTAATCTGATCTCGCTGCTGGAGCTGTTAGCACAGCTGCAACAGCCTGATGTGACTGCTGTGCTCTGAGGTTGCCCCTCTTGACTCCGGAGGAGGCGTTGGGATTCCAGAGGATCAGCTGCAATGAAGCAATAGCAGAGCTTCCTGTTCAGAGCACAGTGACCCCCGGCTGCGTTTAGGATAACCCTCCCCCGCAAATACGCTATCTCTACAAGACGCTTCCCAACGTATGAGAAACAGACTGAACGCAGACTGTCTGACTAAGTTCAGGCTCGGTTCACAAATCCCCTCTTTGGTTCCCCAAAGAGTTAATGGCTCTCGGTCCAACCCCACATGAAACACGGTGTCTGCAGACACGTTCAGACTTGGGCTGCTTGCCGCTACCAGATTCCCCGAATTCCAGCTGCCCCTGTTTACCAGAGACAGTTTGTGTTTGCCTGAAGTTTTCAGTGGTAAAACAATGTCTCTGTTTTGGGCTTCTGGAAGGATGCTGGGGACGTCTTTGAAAACAGAGGCAACAACAACAATTTTTATTACGGTCCAGAGACCCAACAAATCATTACAAAAGCAATACACAATTCATACAACCTACCTCCAGGTTAAACAAGCATTTTGTTCAGAATATAGGGATCCTTGGTCCTTGCAACCACCAATAAAATCTTTGCCACTGCTAATGTTCTAGCATTTGTCCAGTCTTCCAATAGGAACCTGACATAGTGAGCCTCTGATTTTCCTGGGAAAGGTACCAGCAAGGGAAGTATCAGTTCAGCCCTGGCTTGCTCATATTTTGCACAGTGCAACAAAATATGTTTTATGGAATCAATGTCTTGAGCACACGAGCAAAGTCTGTCCTGGTAGGGAACTCCTCTCAACCTGCCATCCAACACTGCAGAAGGAAAGACGTTTAGTCTGGCTTTGGTGAAAAGCACGCACAGGTACCCAGCTGGAGTTCTTCTGGTTCCGGCCCTTTGCTCCTTATGTGGATTTCCCTAAGATAAATGATGTAACTTGGGGCATCCAGCTGCTTAAACCTGCAGTGCCACTGAAGCACTGGATGGCAAACAGAGGTGACGCAGCAGGGCCCTGGTGTTTTAGAACCAAACAGGCAAGTCGAAAAGTAGCAAGTCATTTGTGCTGAATGTCCTTCCCCCGAGAAACTGAAATGTGGATTTTCCTAAGATATGTAGCATCATTTTGGTGCGAGGTGAGGATATATATAGCAAAAATTGTTATTTGGGGGAATTGAATTTAATTCTAAATTATATACCGGAAACATGGGAGATTACAAGGGTTCAAAAAAAATGGATGTACCGTGCCATATTAGAAGCAAAAAAAACTTGTTTTGATGAATTGGAAGAGCTGCAAAAAGATTCCATTGAGCACATGGATTGACAATATGAACAGACTAGCTACATACAAACAATTTGCATGTCGACGCAAATTAAGAATGGATAAATATGAAGAAATCTGGAAGGAATACTTAAGCGATAAGGCGGACAGTGGTGGGAAGTAGGGGGAGGAGAGGTGGGAAAATATTCTTAAAAAGGTGTAGTTATAGGTATATCAGTACTCAAATCTGAATTGTTAAATTGTGTTGTTAGTGTTATTGTGGTTTTTGTTGTATGTATTTTCTGTGGTTGTTGTTTATATTGAAAAAATTAAATAAATTTTTTAAAAAGGAAAAAAAGATATGTAGCATCACTTTTAGTGGAATCCTCAACATGTCTACTTGGACATAAATCCTCCTGAGCTCAATGGGACCTGTTGTTGTTGTTTAGTCGTATCCGACTCTTCGTGACCCCATGGACCAGAGCACGCCAGGCACTCCTGTCTTCCACTGCCTCCTGCAGTTTGGTCAAACTCATGCTGGTAGCTTCGAGAACACTGTCCAACCATCTCATCCTCTGTCGTCCCCTTCTCCTTGTGCCCTCCATCTTTCCCAACATCAGGGTCTTTTCCAGGGAATCTTCTCTTCTCATTAGGTGGCCAAGGAATTGGAGCCTCAGCTTTACGATCTGTTCTTCCAGTGAGCACTCAGGGCTGACTTCCTTTCCAAAGCTTGCCCCCTGCCAGCCCAGTGCAGAGATAGGGCTTTGCGAGGACTTGCCAAGCCTCACCACTGTGCCAGCCTGGGATGGGGGAACTTCCTTCCTGCCTGGCAGCAAAGCAGGGCTTGGCAAGGGGAGAGGCTTTCTGTAGACCTTTGTCACTGGTCCCTCTCTGCCACCGTTGCAGCAAGCAGGACCTGAGCACAAGAGCACTCTCCTTGCTTGCAATTCCCAGAGGCAGACAGCACAGATCCACAGCAATGTGCAGCAAAACGACAACAGTACTAAAAATAGACTTATATATGTCTACTCCAAATTAAGTCTTACTGAATTTACAGGGGTTACTCCCAGATAACAGGGACGTGGGTGGTGCTGTGGGTTAAATCACAGAGCCTAGGACTTGCCGATCAGAAGGTCGGCGGTTTGAATCCCCAGAATGGGGTGAGATCCCAGTGTTCAGTCCCAGCTCCTGCCCACCTAGCAGTTCAAAAGCATGTCAAAGTGCAAGTAGATAAATAGGTACCGCTCTGGCGGGAAGGTAAACGGCATTTCCGTGCACTGCTCTGGTTTGCCAGAAGCGGCTTAGTCATGCTGGCCACATGACCCGGAAGCTGTACGCCGGCTCCCTCGGCCAATAAAGCGAGATGAGCGCTGCAACCCCAGAGTCGGCCGCGACTGGACCTAATGGTCAAGGGTCCCTTTACCTTTATGCTGCAACAGAGACCAGGATGCTTAACGCTCAGAGATGGAAAGAAGATTATGTATCAACGAAGGAGGAGTGGCAGATTAAATTATTGAATTATGATGAAATGGCAAAGTTTATGGGAGCTATAAGGAACCAAGAGGAGAAAGACTTCATCAGAGACTGGGGAAATGTGTGGATTATCTGAAAGGTTATTGTACACATACAAGTTGATTAGCAGGGTTAACTTAAACCAAACAGTTAAAACGAAATTCAAGGAGAAATCAAGGATTAACTAATAATTGGAATAATGAAGAAAATGCAGTGTCAGAAACTAAAATAATATAAGAAACCTCAAAAGGGGCGGGAGGAAGTCAAACTATTCATGTTTATTGTAACATTGGATTTGTATTCTTGTTAAAATATCTTTAAAAAACTGAAAAAAAAAAATTTTTAAAATGCACATGTACTCCTGCACATTGACCATCTTCCACCAAAAAGAATCTTAATGCAACCATATATATTCGCATCAATCCTGAGCTTTTTCGGTATGTTTTACCAAAACATATTTGCATATCAGTGCCGTACAGGAGAGAAAGGTATCATGGAAATGAGTTGCTATTTTAGGTTCATTTACTTACACTTGACAAAAGGGGTAGTTTATTCCCATTTCCATGCTCATAACTGACAAATACAACAATAGAGAATTCTTAATGCACTGGTACCTCTTTGAATCTCATCTCACGCTGATGAGAGAACCCTATAATTCATACTTAATGCTAAACTTTGAATACATACCTTGTTTTACAACTGGAGTAGTATTATTCCTTGTGCTAACCAGCATGTCGGTTATTTGCAATGAACTGGCAGAACGAACTAAAAGGGATGAAACAATGATAAAAGAAGCTTATAAGAAGTGTGCATAATTAGTAGAGAAAACAATGATTGACATATAACTCATATAATAAGAGTGCATTTCCCGAAACCATCTCCTCACTATTTTATTTAAGCACAAGTTGCTCTTTTAGGCTGATTTATGTTTCAGTTACATTTTACAAAAGATTTATTCCCGTTTGAAATCCAGCAGTGCAGAATTCTGATACCTTATAGTTCTTCCCCCAACTTCTTCATTGAGGATTAAATCACTTCCTCTTCCTCTTCGACTTGCCCTGAGACTAAGAGGAAACAATGGGCTGGATCCAGAGTAACAGTGCAATTCTAACCATGTTTATTTGGAAGGTACTGCCACAGAGTTGAAAGAGCTTACTCTTAGGTAAACGGGGGAAGGATTGCAGCCCCAATTTGTTGAGCTTGTTATTGCTGTTGTTGTTTAGTCATTTAGTCGTGTCCAACTCTTCGTGACCCCATGGACCAGAGCATGCCAGGCACTCCTGTCTTCCACTGCCTCCCGCAGTTTGGTCAAACTCATGTTGCTAGCTTCGAGAACACTGTCCAACCATCTCGTCCTCTGTCGTCCCCTTCTCCTTGTGCCCTCCATCTTTCCCAACATCAGGGTTTTCCTGGAGTCTTCTCTTCTCATGAGGTGGCCAAAGTATTGGAGCCTCAGCTTCAGGATCTGTCCTTCCAGTGAGCACTCAGGGCTGATTCCCTTAAGAATGGATAGGTTTGATCTTCTTGCAGTCCATGGGACTCTCAAGAGTCTCCCCCAGCACCATAATTCAAAAGCGTAAATTCTTCAGTGATCAGCCTTCTTTATGGTCCAGCTCTCACTTCCATACATCACTACTGGGAAAACCATAGCTTTAACTATACGGACCTTTGTTGGCAAGGTGATGTCTCTGCTTTTTAAGATGCTGTCTAGGTTTGTCATTGCTTTTCTCCCAAGAAGCAGGCGTCTTTTAATTTCATGGCTGCTGTCACTATCTGCAGTGATCATGGAGCCCAAGAAAGTAAAATCTCTTACTGCCTCCATTTCTTCCCCTTCTATTTGCCAGGAGGTGATGGGACCAGTGGCCATGTTTTTTTGATGTTGAGATTTTTTGATGTTGAGCTTCAAACCATATTTTGCGCTCTCCTCTTTCACCCTCATTAAAAGGTTCTTTACTTCCTCCTCACTTTCTGCCATCAATGTTGTGTCATCTGCTTGGACATAAATCCTCGTGAGCTCTATGGGACCTACTGCTAGGTATATGTAGGGTTGCAATACAAATGAGTCTCCTTATTACAGGACTAGGGGACACGTGTGGTGCTGTGGTCTAAACTACCAGGTGCTTTGCCATTGCGCCACATCCCTTCTTCTCTGCAAAAAGGATGTCTTCCACTCCCTCTGGCCTCTCAGCCTCTCTCCAGTGGAGCAGAGGAGAGCTTCTTAAATGGCCTGTATGCTGGAGATGTGTGACAAACGCAGCCACTCCTTCGCTTTAAAAAGGGCAGTGCGCATGTGACCTTTTGACCTGTGCATTAGCTTTGTTAACAAATGCTTCTAAAAAGCGGTCCTTCCTTTGAAAAGAAATAGAATCTTGAACTGTATCCAACAGCAAACCATTGACTCTCGTCCAACCCTGCTGAGATCTGAAATGGTACCTTTGCCCTTCACTCTGCCCAGCATGTTCACACAAAGGAATTCATCCGATAATTTTCTTTCATCTGTCAGGAACGCACGACCGCTGGAGATCAGTATATATATATCATCAAAATAAACATTTTACTCTCTGTGTATGTTTGTGTGTAAGATCCAGATGCCAAGAGCCTGAAAATATCTCAAGATCACAGGGCTTTTCTGCTTGTTCAGGTTTTGTCCATTTAAAATGTATTTCTTACAGTTTTCCTGTTTCATTCCTCAGCTGAATGCAAACAATTCCGCCACCTTTTTTGGGTGGGGGTGGGGGGAGGGTGTTTGCAAGGCACTCGTGGAAGAGTTCCTCGTGCAAATGTTCTTGAATAAAATAACTTGGGTTGTGTACAATGTTAGTCCTACACAGAATAAAGCCATCGAAATGGATAGATAGAACTAATTTAGAGCCCCGAATTTCAATGGGTCTACTCTGAGGAGGCCTTAGTTGGTCACAACCCCTAACCTTGCTCATTCATGCTGTCATTTTGTACTTCTACTGTTGATAAATGGGAGTGAAGAGGAAAGTAATACTGAAAACGTGACCCTTCCTTTGACATTTGTTCAACCGCCAGCATATCACAGCGCTAACCAAAAACTCAGCTATACAGCTGCAAATAAAACGTTTTTTGTTTTTAATTTATAAACTGTCACAGAACAAAAAGTATTGCAAAGTGCAATATGCATATGTGGCACTAGATGGCGACAGTGAGCTATGCAAAATTTAACGTATTTTTTAAAACTTTTTTTTAAAAAAGCATTTTCACAGCATTTCTTATATGTGTGTAGATTCCACCCTAGTAAGGAGTACCTGCATTTGCTCGCATTTAGGCCTTGCTATCCTTGCATCACACTTCTTTCTCCTCATCCATTGTCTTCCCTTTTATCAGTTGCAGACTGTAGGCTGCTTGGGGCCAGAGCCCTCTCTACAGTTTGCTTATGTAGAAGCACAGGGTGGAATCCAGTGTCTCTGTTCCTCCTCTGAGGGACAGCTGTTGATTCAGCAAGATGCCTCTGCTACTGTAAGGGAGAGGAAGGATATTCTCACCACTCCCCGCTTCTCTCAGCATCCCCCTGCTGTAAAGGAGGGTCCCCAAAACTCTGGAACAAATCTCCAGGGGCCGGAAAGGTGCCTTCAGCACATAGAAGTAATAAGCAAAGCTCAATCTCTCCTTCCCTTAGCAGAGGCATCTAGCTTAGGGTTGCCATATTTCAAAAAGTGAAAACCAAGACACCCCAAAATAAAGTTGTCGAGTTTCATTTAGGAACCCCTGAAAATGGTTGAGCTTCTTTTAGGAAACCCCCAAAATTGATGCACTTTTAAAAACAAACCCCAAAGTTGTTCACCTAAAAAAACCCAAAACCCAAAAAACCCTCTCCCAATAATTCTGATTTTTCGATTGACTTGCCTAAGATCCAGGACAAAATGTCACCTTTCTAAAATTCCCCCTGGACTTCCACCTTTGAAATCCCAGTAATGTCTGGGGAAATCCAGATGTGTGGCAATCCAATCTACCAAAATCAAAAGCTAATAATGTGTTCCCTTTTCTGTTAGATAGGTTGCTGCCATCATCCCTGACCACTGAGTGAGCTGGCTTGACCTACTGAGAAAAGGTCTCCTCAGCCAAAGGCCAGCATATAGATAACCTTTTACAGGGACGTGGGTGGCGCTGTGGGTTAAACCACAGAGCCTAGGACTTGCTGATCAGAAGGTCAGCGGTTCGAATCCCCGTGACGGGGTGAGCTCCCGTTGCTCGGTCCCTGCTCCTGCCAACCTAGCAGTTTGAAAGCATCTCAGGTACCGCTCCGGCAGGAAGGTAAACGGTGTTTTCGTGCGCTGCTCTGGTTCACCAGAAGCGCCTTAGTCATGCTGGCCACATGACCCGGAAGCTGTACGCTGGCTCCCTCGGCCAGTAAAGCGAGATGAGCGCCGCAACCCCAGAGTCGGTCACGACTGGACCTAATGGTCAGGGGTCCCTTTACCTTTTACCTTTGCCAGCTCACTATCACAGACTGATCCTAATAAAATGGGTATGATGGTTACTTAGCTACATGCAAAAATACCAACCTCGAGAGAAACTTGCACGAAAATGCTGATTTATTTTCACAAGCAAACACCTCAAAACCACAAATTGCTGCAGAAATGTGGGGTGCTGAATTTAAGATTGTAAAAATAAGAGACTGAGAGAAACCAGAACGGACAAGCTTGCCCATTCCTTACAGGGGTCAATTACCCCCTTCCCTCTTGTGCCGTTAAGGTTTTGTTACATATAGTTGTGCTATACAGAATAGTTTGCTTCTAACTTCCAGCATGGTTCTGTGGCTTAATAGGCAATGACATTAGTTATCTTATATGGCCCTCTGCTGCCAGCTTTCAAAATTACAGGGGCTTTAAAAAAAAAAAAGTTCATTTAAAGATATTTAAGATTCTCCCCTTTTCTGCTGCTGAGTGATACTGGTGATTCTATGCCTGTCAGGGCACAGAGAGTCACCTTATAAGGACTCAGCTACACAGCTGCAAATAAAAGAGGTTTTTGTTTTTTTAATTGAGAATAAGGCTTTATTTATTTCTGAGACTTTTCCATCCTGCCTTAGCTCTTTGAAGAGCCTCCAAGGCAATAGAATAATTTCTTAAATCTCTAGCTTGTGTCCCTTGTGAGAAAAGCTAATCATGCCTTTTTTCCCCTTTGGTAATTTAATCAGGGGATGCAACTCTTTAAATGGTCTAATAGATTTGCTGAATCATGAACTCTGTACATGCACAGAGGCTATAGCCCTTGAATGCAATTTCTCTCCAGGGAGTGTCACCACCTAGCTCCATGGGATATTGCTTATGGTCAATGAAAGCCCAAGCAGGGATTCATGGAGGGGAATGTTGCTGTGGCGCAGAGCTAGGAGGCTAACTTTGACACCTGAGAACCCAAAAAAGCAGTCGCAAAACAACTACCTGTTTCATTTTAAATGGCCCTTCATGCTGAGTGTAAAGCACAGAACTTCATTTTTCAAAGGAAAAGGGAGAGGAGGCTTCACCCGAAGTGTTAGAATGCCACAAGTAATGTAACGACAGAACAAAACAAGATGCGTTATTTCGTATGATACAGAATCCTATGTGCAATTCTGGCAGATAGTTGTTGTTTAGTCGTTTAGTCATGTCCGACTCTTTGTGACCCCATGGACCAGAGCACGCCAGGCACTCCTGTCTTCCACTGCCTCCTGCAGTTTGGTCAGACTCATGCTGGTAGCTTCGAGAACACTGTCCAACCATCTTGTCCTCTGTCATCCGCTTCTCCTTGTGCCCTCCATCTTTCCCAGCATCAAGGTCTTTTCCAGGGAGTCTTCTCTTCTCATGAGGTGGCCAAAGTATTGGAGCCTCAGCTTCACGATCTGTCCTTCCAGTGAGCACTCAGGGCTGATTTTCTTCAGAACTTCTTGCAGTCTATGGGACTCTCAAGAGTCTCCTCCAGCACCATAATTCAAAAGCATCAATTCTTCGGCGATCAGCCTTCTTTATGGTCCAGCTCTCACTTCCATACATACTGGGGTAGATTGAGAAATGTGCATTAAATAACAAAAATTAAACGTGTGTGCTTACAGGTAAAAAGATAGGTGATTTCCTGCAAGAACTTGCGAGATATCATCAAAGTCTTGCAAGATGTCTAGGAGAGCAAAATGCCTATTTACATTTGGGAGAGATCTTGCAAGCTCTTTCAGGGACCAATGCCAGCACTGCTGCAGTGCCACAGGCAGGTGCCACAGTGGTGGTGAGTGTTCCACGCAGGGCCATCTTAAGCATATCCCACACCATGGTGCAAAGATCCCTCCGCCCCCCCCCCCCCATTTCCCAGAGTTGTTGATCTTTTCCCAAGCCTTTGCGGGTATCGTTCTCCTCCCGCAGAAGCTTGGGAAGGAAGCTGCACGCCCGCCAGCCATATGGTTGATGAGGCACAGCTGGCGTGCAGGGAAAGGGGAGGCCGTCAGCAAAGCTGCGCTGCTCCCCAACTGGCTGGGGCGCCCCTGAGAGGCCAGCACCCTGGCGCAACGCACCACTAAGCCCCATGGGAAAGACGGCTCTGGTTCCACGGGTGGTGGTGGTATAGTGGTGTGCAGAATAGGGCGGCGCTTCCTGTTTTGCCTCAAGTGGCAAAAGGGGACATACCACCCCTGAGCTCAGGATTCCAGAACTAACAGCTGTCAGTTCAGATGGAAGGAAGGCAAGGACCCACAGCCCAGGTGGGGCTAACTAGCTTGGGGAAGAGTTGTCTGATTCCTTAGCTGGAGTAGGCTCAGAACAGGTGAGGCTCACATGCCTCGTTAATCCCAGAAGCTTGAACAGGCCTGCTTCCTGGCGAGGCCTGCGTCCGTTTCACGGTAGGCCATAAAATGAGTCCTCGGCACCCTATCCTTGCCACATTTTCTGCCAAACTTTTGACGTCGTCCGAGTCACTCGAAAATGGAGCCAAACACCTGCAAATCCCCTCTGCAATGTTGGGTGGTGCAAATGCCGCATTTCCAGGTAGGCCAAAAAACGAGCCTTTGGCGCCCTTACCCACAAGTCACAGTCTTCACCAAAATTCTGACGTGTCCGATTGATTAGAAAACGGTGCCAAACACCTGCAAATTGCCCAGTGTAATGTTGGTCCGTGCAAACGGGGCGTTTCCAGGTAGGCCCAAAAATGAGCCCTCGGCTCCCTTACCCACGGGGTCACAGTTTTCGTCAAAATTCTGACATCGTCCGATTCACCCGAAAATGGCGCCAGGCATTTGCAAATTGCCTCTTGCAATGTTTTGCACTGTATACACCGTGTTTCTTGTAGGCCCAAAAAATGAGCCCATGGTGTCCTTACCCGCTAGGTCACATTTTTCGCCAAAATTCTGATTCTCTTGAAAACAGTGCCAAACACCTGCAAATTGCCCCCTGCTTCGTTTCACCAAAATTCTGACATTATCAAAGTCACTCGAAAACGGCGTCAAACACCTGCAAATTGCGCAGTGTGATGTCTTGCCCTGCATATGTGCTGTTTCCAGGTAGGCAAAAAAATGAGCCCTTGGAGCCTTGGGTCATGGTTTTTGCCCAAATTCTGACATCATCTGGTTCACTCGAAATTCGTGCCAAACACCTGCAAAATGCACCCATGTTTTACGGTAGGCGATCAAACACCGACAACACCGGTCTCTCTCCATCTTTCCTTCCCTCCCTCCTCTGATGCTTCCTCACATCTCTGCCTCTCAGAGACTTGTTTTTTGTTTGGTGCCTCTGGCCGGGGATGCTGGTTTCTAGGGGCTGCGGTGGCCTTGGAGGAAGCAAGCAAGTGGCTGTGGGAGCCCAGCCAGCCAGTCCGCAGCCCTTGCTGTTGGGAATGGACAGACAAACAGGAGACCAGGCAGACTGGCAGGCAGGCACTGTCCTGGCCTTTCTTGTGCATGCTGTGTGCAAGGCCCATCTGGGAGCTGAGTGCCTGGTGGTGAAGGGGAGCCTGTCCCCCATGCAGGCACGGCAAATTATCAAACCATATAATCACATACATTCTCCCCCCTTCCCCCCCTCTTCATCCCTCCCTCCCCCGCACCAAGGACTTCCCTCAGCTCCTCTCTCTGATTTCTCTGCACATATTGTTCTCTGCAAGTTATAAAATTTTACATATCCTTACCTTATCTATCAAATAACCAACAAATAAATTTGTGTATGTTTATTCAAAACCTGCCAAGGAGTCTAGTTCATTTTGTTGTCTATATAAATAATTTGTAAAAAGTTCCCATTCTTCCTTAAAGTCACAGTTGTCGGAAATGACTGGTAGAATCGGAGACCAGGGAGAAGAGTCGGTGGAAGAAGATTGGAAGAAATTTAAAGACTATTTACAGAAATATTGCAAAATTAATGAATGTTAGAATGATGTTGGATTGAAGTTAAGTGGTTTCTAGCTGTACTGGTATAAAAGAATATGGAAAAATTGGTTTCTAATATGTAAAAATTTAATGTTATAATATATCAAGATGAAAGATTAGGATTAAAAGGAGGGAAAGGAATTGCTGGATTAACAAATTGAATTGGAATACAAAAGAGGGAGGTATGAGGAGGTCCGGGAAACAAGTAAATGTAAAAGAAGTGATGAAAAGATGGAATTGTTTTTAACTGTTTTTTCTTCTTTGTATTTTGTATTTTTCTTTTTTATTGTTAATTTTCTCATTAATGTGATTTTTCTTTTTTTTTGAAATTTTAATAAATATTATTTTTTTAAAAAATAAAGTCACAGTTGTCCTTGTCCTGCAGTTTATATGTCAATTTAGCCAACTCTGCATAACTCATCAATTTTTCTTGCCACTGTTCTTTTGTTGGGATTTCCTCATTCTTCCATCCTTGTGCTAGCAAGGATGTATGTCGTTGTTGTAGCATACATGAATATAAATTCTTTATTTTTCTTGGCAGGTCTTGTCCTACAATCCGTAACAAAAATGCTTCTGGGTTTGTTTGTTTTTACAAATGTCATTTTAAACATTCTTTTCAATTCATTATATATCATTTCCTTTTAAAAAAAAATTCTCTACATTCCCACCACATATGGTAAAAAGTCCCTTCTTTTTCTTTACATTTCCAACATATGTTTGTCTCATGTTCACCTTTGGCCCGTTTCCATTGGGCCGCTAAGGCTGGGGCAGCTTCCTTCCAGGCTCCTATGGGGCAGTGTCTCTTTGGCACCTCTCTTTGGGGCAGGGGTGGGGCAGCTCAGAGACCAGGGGCACACCAGCAGCTGCCCAGAGGACTCCCAAGGAGAGGGGGGAGGAGAAGCGACTGAGGGAACATCCCACAAGGGACGGTGTTTGAAAAAGGGTGAGGCTGCCAGTTCAATAGGCGAAGCTTATCAAAGGGTGACAGAACTGGGCTCCACAGGGGTGTCGCAGAAAGAATATACAGTGGTACCTCTGGTTACAAACTTAATTCGTTCCAGAGGCCTGCTCTTAACCTGAAACTGTTCTTAACCTGAAGCACCACTTTAGCTAATGGGGCCTCCTGCTGCCGCTGTACTGCCGCCGTGCGATTTCTGTTCTTATCCTGAGGTAAAGTTCTTAACCTGAGGTAGAAGAAGAAGAAGAAGAGGAGTTTGGATTTGATACCCCACTTTATCACTACCCGAAGGAGTCTCAAAGCCGCTAACATTCTCCTTTCCCTTCCTCCCCCACAACAAGTGGGGCTGAGAGACTTCAGAGAAATGTGACTAGCCCAAGGTCATGCAGCAGCTGCATGTGGAAGAGTGGAGACGCGAACCCGGTTCCCCAGATTACAAGTCTACCGCTCTTAACCACTACACCACACTGGCTCTCTACTACTTCCGGGTTAGTGGGGTCTGTAACCCAAAGTGTTTGTAACCTGAGGTATCACTGTAGTTGGTCAAGGGAGCCATGGACTCTAAAAGGTTAAAAACCTCTGCTGTAAAGGAAGAATGTCGTAAGTCAGTTGGGTAAAAGGCGGAGGAGGAGGAGGAATACTTTGGAGTCTGAGGGGAATTGATCCCAGAGAAGGCCAACTGAAAAAAATTGAGGATTCTTTTTTTGGTAATATATAAATGTGAGAAGGTTATCAAAGCAGAAAGAAAGGCTGGAGGCCTACACATATGAAAGTGATGCCACAGATAACCAAAATCTCTCCAGGAGATGGCAACCAGGAGGAACATATTAATATTAAAGGCAACAGGGCTTTGGCCACGAGATAAAAACTGTTCAGAATACAGGCTTATTAAACCTGAAGATAGGATATCTGGATGAAATTGGAGGACATCTGCAGCCTAGCTATTGACTGATGCTTATAGATAGTTCAGTCAGACAGGAAATTATAGGAACGTAACAGTAATTACATTGCAGACTCAAAAATGCTCACTGCTTAATCTATAGTCGAGATGTTTATCACATCAAAGCAGATCCTGAATTGGTTGGATGGCGATACGGTGCTGGAAGAATTAAGTGTAAACATATTTCAGATTAAAGAATTGTAGCAGTTTATGCTAATTTCTCAAACTTTTTAATTGCCCTGTAGTAAGTTATAAATTGAAACTGGTGAAACATATGGTAAAATGTTGGATGAAAGTCCATAAGAAGCATGCATATAAACGATCAGTGGCCAAGCGAATTTGATTTGTAGGAATATTTTTTTAAGCTGTTAATAATACACTGTATTGATAAGAGTCAAATTGGGAAGAGAGCTGAATATTTTTCTCTCTAATCCAATGCTGTACTGGGTTTATTTCATTTATTCATTCATTAAATTTATATACAGCGCTTCGTTGAAAGAGCACAGGGCAGTTTATAACTTTGTTGGCATCTGCTGTCTTGAGAGACAATGGAGTGCACCTCCAGGGGTGAAGTCAAACTGCTGTGTTAGCAACATCAACGTGACCTCCCCGAGGTGCAAGCCTGGGTAGCATGTATGGAGGTCATCTGGAGGCCCAGATGACCCCCCCCCCAGCTCTCAGCCTCGTTGATGTGGCCCAAAGAAAGCAGAGCAATATGTTTGGCACCAGCTTGGCTGCAGGAGTTGCCAGAAGGAGACGTACAAAGGCACCATCTAACCGTCTTAGGGGACTTGTGTACTCCATAGCCTTTTCTTCTCATGAAGATATCCCACAAGGCAGCACAAGGTTAGGATCTGTTAGGATTCTTGCTCCGTGTTTGCAGTCATGAGATTGTTGTCTATCTCATGACGGTGTATGTTTTCATTCCACAGTGTGGGAAGTGACGGAGACAAGATGTTTTGTGTTACTGTGTTCTGGAATATAGGACTATTGTCCTTTGTCCTTTCTCTCTTTGCTGTCTGATGAGAAAGAGGAAGGAGCTAAGACAGAATGCTCTGAGTGTATTATATGTAAATAAAAGTAGATTAGCCAAAATGCTGTGCTACTGGTTCTGTTACACAAACCGTGAATACTCTGCAAGATCCCTAAGCATGCTGATGCTTCTTGGTATCAGTCGCTGTAATGTTAGGACTGAAGAAAGGTTTTGAAGCTCCCGAACGACAGGCCAGGAGGGAAAGAACATGGCAGTAGGGGATGTGTCTCTGCCAGGGTCCTACATGAGAGTAGGATGCTCCTAACAGGATCCGTGTTTTTCTTCTCCCAGATGAGCTACCTTCCCAGGTTGACAAGCCCCATATGCCCCTCACTTCCCTCTACGGTATGAGAAGAAACTGCCTACTTGACCATTGGGCCCACTATTGGTCTCATCCACTCCATCTGCCAGAGCCTGTCTTCGCACGCAGGGGAAGTCCTTAACTCACCGAGGGTTTGAGACCCATCGGCTACCCTCACCTGGTTTAGCTGGCCAATCTATGCCGTTGCCAAGGGGGTGGCCGCTGTCTCATGCTGACAGCTTCTAAAGGCCACAGGCGAAAGCTGAGTGCAGGGTGGGAACAAAAAGTGGACAAACTACCTCAGAAGGAGCATGACACATAGGGTTGCCATACGTCTAGGATCGGACAGCATTTTGGCGTCCGGGCGGGATTTTTGCCAAATTGGCAAAATGTCCGGGAAAACCCAGACATATGGCAAGGGTTTTTTTTTTTTTAAAAGAAACAAATTAAAAAATCCCCCAAAGTCCGCAAACTTATTTTGGGGGGGAGGGGAGATGTTCCCCTAAAGAGCTCAACAGTTTTGTCTGGATTTGCAGTTTTGGGTATATGGCAACCCTAAGGACACGTCCCCCACCAGAGATACTACCAGACCTGAACAGGGAAAATAGAGGATTGTAGAATGTAAACTAGGACACATGATCACCCTTAATCATGGAAGTGGTCCCCCTCAGGACATCTGACCCTCAGGCTCTTTATACCTGATATATTCAGGGAAAGGGCTGCAGCTCACTGACAGAACATCTGCTTTTCATGCACGAGGTCATCCATCTCCAGCCAGGGCTTGGACAGACACTTGCTGAAACCCTGGTGAGCTGCTGTCAGTTAGTGTAGACAATACTGAGCTAGATGGAGCAATGGTCTGACTCAGTATAGTCATACCTTGGACCGCGTCAGATGTTCGGCTTCCAAAAGAATGTTCAAAAACCGGAAGACTCACTTCCATTTTTCGATCGTTCGGGAGGCAGAATGTTCGACTCCCAAGGCGTTTGAGAGCCGAGGTACGACTGTATATGGCAGCTTCCCAGGTTCCTAAAATGTATTTATTTATTAGATATTTTATTAGTTGAATATAAGAATAACATACAAGCAAAAACAAGCAATCAAATACAGTTTTTCCCTGCCCCCCCCCAAAAAACAGCCCCAACTATGTCCAGGTAATTACATAAGTAATATAATCAAATAAAAAATTATTTCTACAGTTGCTGGTTTAAAAAATATCATTCCACATGCTCCCATGTGTCTTAGGGGTTTAAATGCATGTTCTTTCTTTGATGCATATGTAATAAAGGAGGACCACATTATGTAAAAGTTATGTAGTTTCTCACGTTGTTTTCTTTTACGTACTCTTTCTGTTAACTTTTCCATCAAAAGTAATTCCCAGACATAAGCATACCAAACTTCACGTTTAATGTCCTCCAGTGTCTAGCATCAGCAAGACGTGCTGCAGTTATAAGATGTACAATGTATTTATTACACTTGTTTACACCCCACTTTTGAGGATACAAATCTCTCCAAAGTGGATTACCAAAAAAAAATGCAGACTCACAAACTGCCCTCAGAAGTAGGACTCCCTAAGCCAAAGGCTAATTTAGTATGCTCTTTCTCTCCCCTCCCTCCCATCTTCTTCGTTGATTCAGCTCTCTTTTTGAAAAATAGGGAGATGAGGTGTTGCATATGGGCTTCCTGGCTGAGCTGATATTCTAAGTTGCAGCAAAGACATCAGGAAAGACACTCCTTGCTGAGTGTAAATAGCAGTGTGTTCAACAGTTAAAGTGTTGCAATGCAACCAGAACTTCAAGCAGATTTTGCAAAGCCCATTAGATAATTAAAATAGCTCATCTGGAGTTAACCAAACAGGTCAGGGAATGTGCCGTGGCATCTTATCCGTGTCCCCCCCATCCATTAACAAAAGGTCTGGATGAAGTAAACCTGAGATGTCATTGTAACAGACAAAACAAATGAGAATGGATTTGTTGCTCTTTCGGTTGCATACAAAAACAACTTGCGTTTCTCGCTGGTGAAGAATAAGGGATGGAGAGTAGGTGATTTGGTTAAGATAAATGTTCCATTTTTAAAAAATCCTATAAGGAGCAATTTATAGCCCAAATCAATGTACTGACAGCAACCAGCTCTGTTTTTTTATTTCCATCAAATCCAGAGGCATCTACTCAATCCCTAAATGAACAACTGAGCACAGATACGATATGGGGTGGATGAGGGCCAACAAACTGAGCAAAAACATGGCCCGCAGCTCAGAAGTTTGAAAAATGAGGTGAAACGTTTTGTCCAAGGTGGGTGGATACAGCATTTCATCCTAAATGTGTGATTAAAAATAATTAGGCAGTGCTATTATTGGGAAGCCTTCTGCTTACTCTGTTTTCTTGGTTTCTGGCAGCTGTTCTCCTCACAAACAAGTCCCCCCCATGAGTTTATGCCTCTCTTCAAAATTAAATCCTACCCACCATACAAAACCAATTTTGATCTCTTTTCCTGCCTCCTTAGGTGGGAAGCAAGTATTGATCTGCCCTGAAGAATCTCACCCCACCTCTTCTTTGCTTTCAGCCGTTTCCTCACCTGTTCCACTAGCTAAAAAAACCCAAAACACTAAAAAAAATACTTGAACAACATCCTTGGTGGGGGGGGGGGGCAAGTAGTTTCAAGAATGCAGAAACTGCCAAAGGGATTCTTTTATGCCGAATTGCCTTCAGATGTTCAGAAAATTGTAGACAATGCGAGGCCTTCTAGATGTTGAATTCCAACTTTCTCCATCTGCGTCCACTGTGGAGCGCCTCTATGAATGGACCTTGTGTCTTTCTTTCAGTGACGTAGGGCTGCCATTCGTCCATCACCAGGATTTCAAAGGCAGAAGTGACATGGTCATGAAAGGTGGATCATAGAGAAGTCAACCAAAAAACTGTGTTTCTTTGGCATTTTCGTTAAAAAAAAGGCGCTCAACAACCTTGGGGTTTGTCTAAACAAAGCTCAACAGTTTGGGTGGTCTCCAATTTTTTTCTCAAGGTGTTCTGCTTTTTATATGGCAACCCTAAGAGAAAGTCACTTATTTCCCCTTTTAGAATAGCAGTCCTATTACAAAAAGACACCTTTCTATGCAAAACAGCCATTTCCTAATTCAAAAATTTTGGTGTCTTCTCAAGAAAAGCTCAACAACTTTCGGGGTGCCCTGGTTTTTACTAATTGAAATAAGGCAACCCTAAGCCACATATGATTATAACTCAGTAGCACATAAGTAGTTCCATGTTCACCAACACCAGTAAACAAGTGCTCTTGAATTTCCCCTTCCTCTTCTTTACTATTGAGCAGGGGGATAAAAATTGATGTGGAATTTGGGGGCAGAGGAACCTTTGCCCAGGGTCCCCTAAAACGTGGAATAGCCTCTGATGGTTATGAATGCTGGCTAAGCTCTGGCAGCCATCTTGCATGTTGGGGAAAAAGACTGAGAGTTCCCTATCAATAGGAGCGAAGGAGTGAGATGTACAGAAGTAAGTTCTGGAGGGTACGAGCCTTTTGGGGGTGGTGAATGTCCCCACCTAACTCACTCTTCCCCACCAAGGTTTGCCAATTCCTAATATACAAACCCTGAGATGGAAAGTCACCTGGTGGTTCAGTGCGGAAGTCCTTTGCATTTGACCTGGGGGGAAGAGGAGGACTGTGGTTGGCATCAGATCCCACAGTCTTGTTTTAACACCATACTTCATGCCAGTTTTCACTTCCTTTCATTTGGTGCTTCACAAGAGGATAAATACCCCCAGGTGACCTTCATTTTCTGCTATTAGTTATTTCATATACTGTACCTCTGTCAGATTATCTCTTATTCATCGCCTCTCTTGGCTAAGCAGTCATATCATTTTAATTTCACCTTAGATGGAAGAATTTCTTCCATGTGCCTCGTTGCATCGGCTGTGCCTGCCTGTTTTATCGGGACTGTATCCTTCTGCAAAGAGATGACACGGAGCCTGCAGTCAATGTAAAAGCATGTTATTGGCTGGCAGGAAGGCTTTACAATCCCCTTCTCTCCCTCATTTTGGCCAAAATCTTTCTTCCTTTTAATGAAGGCTTGGTTAATAATATAAGCAAAGATTCCAACGTTTGTATTAGGGCAGTGCCTTTAGGTCACCCAGCTAGATGGAAGCAGAAGAAAGTAACATTGTCCTATTTGCTAAGGGTATGCAACAACTCAATACACTGAATAAATTGGGGCGATTTGGTGTAGTATTTCACATTACTGAGTCAGCCTATGCTAATAACAAGATGGGAGGGACGCGGGTGGCACTGTGGTCTAAACCACTGAGCCTCTTGGGCTGGCCGATCAGAAGGTCGGCGGTTCGAATCCCCGTGATGGAGTGAACTCCCGTTGCTCTGTCCCAGCTCCTGCCAACCTAGCAGTTCAGAAGCACGCCAGTGCAAGTAGATAAATAGGTATGGCTGCGGCGGGAAGGTAAACGGCGTTTCTGTGTGCTTTGGCTTCTGTCATGGTGTTCCATTGCACCAGAAGCGGTTTAGTCATGCTGGCCACGTGACCCAGAAAGCTGTCTGTGGACAAACGCTGGCTCCCTTGGGCTGAAAGCAAGATGAGCACCGCAACCTTATAGTCACCTTTGACTGGACCTAACTGTCCAGTGGTCCTTTATCTTTTTTTTTTACCTTCATAATAAGATACGCTGAGGTGCATCAGAGAGTGCCCAACTTTTTGCCTTGTTTCCTCCCCATAAAGTTGATAGAGATATCACCCTAATACGGATTTGGGATTTTTTCTTATGTGCCAGCACAGCTCCCTTTTTTCATTCATATAAAGTCCACTGACTTCACCAAATCACCTTGAAAGAACGGCAGATGATGGAACCAAGTGATAACACCATCCTAAATCTGTGCTGGGGCATGTTTTGCAAAATGTGTGCCAACCTTCTCATTGTCCAAAACTTTGAACAACAAAGACCTCTCAATTAAACTTCACCACCCTGATCTTATTCTCAGGAGCTTGAAAGGGCAGGCAAAATGTTAATCAGAAGTCAATTACAGTCTGATGCGATGAAGAAGTGACCTAGCTGAACTTCGTTTCATGAGTCCTCAAATGACATTAGGAACTTGTAACACTTGCTGAATGGGTAAAAATAGATTTCATTTGTAACGCAGAAGGAAGCACAGGTTACAAAAGCTGTTATTGCTACTTCCATCAGTGCCTGCTAATTAAATGTTGTGACTCTTACACTTATGGGAACTGTGCTGTGCTGATTTTGAAGATCTGGTTGGGTGGAGAGGGCACTGAAATGGCTGCACATGTGGGATGAAGGAACCATGTGCTTGTAGCTTTGTGAGATTTTTATGAAAGTACAAAACATGCATGACTTTGACCATTTCTCCCCATGACACCCTTAAATGGGCCGCTGGGACCATATAACACAGCTCCTAAAGGATCTTCACTGGTTACTCGTACATTTCCGAGCACAATTCAAAGTGTTGGTTCTGACCTTTAAAGCCCTAAACGGCCTCGGCCCAGTATACCTGAAGGTTTGCTGTATCCGAATATTTTAGCCACCTGCCAGGTAGGCTTGGCTTGGCTTGGAACATCTAGCAGAGGCCTCTGCTGTCCTGCTTAAAGAGAACTCGGAAGCTCTCTCAAGTCACTATAATTGTATTAAGCGTATGACACAAATTGCTCTAGACAGGCATTGTGGATGTTTTCAGGGATCAATATATGAAACAGTAAAAATCTGACAGAAGGAAGGAAAAAAGGCATGCTAAGTGTACAGTCATATCTGTTTATATGAGATGTGTTCAGCTTCTTCAAGCTGCCAAGACAAAATGAGATGGAAGAATTTCACAGCATGTTTTCACCTCTAGCAAAAGAAACCCTTTTGGTTATTATTATTTTTTGCATCCCTTGTGATGGAATTTGCAGTGGGGATGTGGCAGGGGGCAGTGTTGGAAAGGAAAAGGAATGTATACCCACTTCTGAAGCAACTGGACTTAAATTCCCTATCCGACCCAGTTGTTTATTCATTTATTTATAATTTTTATTAAATTTTCATATTTTGCGTTACAGGTGAAACCTCTTGCATTATACCTTACACTTATTAAATTCCCCCTCCCCTTCCAAGGTTCATTGGACTTTTCCAACCATTCCTGCATATTTTGATATATGCACCTAATTCTCTTCTCCTATCTCACATCACTTTGGTATTTATTATACTGTTGAATTCACTTTAATACTGCTAGAGTTTTCAACTGCACACAATTGTTTTCGATAAGCTCAACCACAAAAATCCCACTCCTCCTTAAATACCTGTTCTTCTTGCTCCCTTATTCTACTTGTGAGACCCACTAATTCTGCATATTCTAACATCTCAAGTTGCCGATCCTCCTCGCTAGGGACCTCCCTCACTTTCCATTTTCAGGGCTAGCGAAATCCAGTTGTATGCAGTTGACGAGTTGGGTCAGAACACCTTGACATCTGGATATGTGACAGCAGGCATACCCATGCTCATTGCATTGCTTTCAAATGAGATGCATACTCAAAAACAGGGGAGACCGCCCAAATATTACTTGCTAAAAATTGGAAAACACAAGAACTACCAACAGTGGAAGATTGGCAGATGAAGATGATGGACTTTTTGGAGCTAGCTGACCTGACTGGAAGAATCCGCGACCAGAAAGAAGAGGAGTTGTAAGAGGATTGGTGGAAATTTAAGGACTATTTGAATAAATATTGTAATATAAAAAATTAGAAATTACTTGAAAGAAACAAATAGGCCTAGGATTAAACTAAGTTATAATTAAATAAATGGGATTTAGAATGTTAAGAAAAGTGAATAAGATGGACTATAATTGGAAATTGTTTTAGTTTAATAATGATATTGGAAAGCTGTTACTTTTAATTACAAGGAAACTCAGAAGGGAGGGATTTGAGGAAGTCAACCAAGATGTTTAATAGGTGGGATTTGTGAAGAATTAAGTTTATTGTTATTGTTTATCTGTTGATTGTTCTTTTTTCTTTTTCTGTTTTCATGTATCATTTTGCTTTGTGGTTTGTGTTATCATTGTGGAAAATCTAATAAAAAAATTATTAAAAAACAAAACAAAACAAAACAGGGGAGACCTCCAGCCTACAGGCCAATAATGGTCCGCTGGCCAACCTTAGCTCACTAAGGAGTACGAGTAAGTTTACTAGGCCATTTCCCCCAAACCTTGCCCATGTCAAGTGATGGGCGGGATCCAATTCTGCTGGGGTCGGCTTCATTTGTGCGTCCCCTGTCTGGGATGAAGCAGAGCTTGTTAGCCTGCAGGACTGGACTCTCCACTCATCAGCTGGTGGATTAAATCCTGCAGGGTGCTGCTCTGGCAATGTCTTCCCTATGGGTTCAGTCCTGCTGGGTGCTGATTTATCAGTGTGTTCCTTGCAGGGGATACAGGGCAGAGCAGAAAACAATGCCTTCCTTAACTCCTAGCCAAAGGCTCATTATGATTTGGATAGCATACCCTCCAACATTTCTTTGATGAAAATAGGAACGGCTTATTCAATACGATACAATACGATATGGTACGATACAATACCCACCCATCCAGGGGTGAACGAAGGCGTTGTGACATCCGGGGCGGGGCGTCACTATGTAGGGCGCATGTGTGGTGTCATTACGTACGACACATGTGCCGTACATAGCGACGCCGCACATACGCTGTACATAGCGGGTTGCCGGCGGCGCTGCTCCGGCGCCGTACGGACAGTTCTGGGATCCTCTGCTTGCGGCTGCTGGGTGACTTTGGGCTAGTCACACTTCTCTGAAGTCTCTCAGCCTCACTCACCTCACAGAGTGTTTGTTGTGGGGGAGGAAGGGAAAGGAGATTGTTAGCCACTTTGAGACTCCTTTGGGTAGTGATAAAGCGGGATATCAAGTCCAAACTCCTCCTCCTCCTCCTCCTCCTCCTCCTCTTCTTCTTCTCAAAAATGTGATTTTTTTGGTTGACTTGCATCAGATCCAGGACAATGCGCCACATTTTGGAAATTGCCCCCCACCCCGTCAATTCCGCCTTTGAAATCCTGGTAATGTCTGGGAAAATCCGGACGTATGACTGCTCTAGATGCTGGGGAAACTAGATTCCTATGGGGCTTTCATACTTGGAATGCTGCTGCATTGGCTGAAATCTAAAGCATAATGAAGAGACCATCTCCAGCTTGACACATGCTGGCCAGTGATGAGAACCATTGGTCTTAGAAAAATCCCATGTTGAATGCCCTATACAGACAAAATGGTCACACTCCACTCACATGCAGATTTGATGTATGAGTGTTTACATCCATATAGGGCTGAAGAATTGATTCTGAAGGAAATCAGCCCTGAGAGCTCACTGGAAGGACAGATCCTGAAGCTGAGGCTCCAATACTTTGGCCACCTCATGAGAAGAGAAGACTCCCTGGAAAAGACCCTGATGTTGGGAAAGATGAAGGGCACAAGGAGAAGGTGATGACAGAGGACGAGATGGTTGGACAGTGTTCTTGAAGGTACCAGCATGAGTTTGACCAAACTGCGGGAGGCAGTGGAAGACAGGAGTGCCTGGCGTACTCTGGTCCATGGGGTCACGAAGAGTCGGACACGACTAAATGACTAAGCAACAAAAACAAAATTATCTGAAGTTGATGCCAGATGCAGTTTCTGCTTTCATCTGAAGAATTCTGAGGGAACGCTAAAAGAGTTTTGAGAAAACCTAGCAAAATTTTTTAAAGTTGTGGATGAATGGCAGCAAAGTGAAATTCTATGCATATACAGGTATTCTTCCTCAGGCAAATGACTTGATCATTTCTTTGGCGGGGCAGATTTTCACTTCTCCAGGTGTTGCCTCTTATCTGAACCAATATAATTTCAAGTTTCAATATTTTACATGGCTCTT